GCTTGCCTTGAGCTCACTTTGTAGCCCAGGCTGGTCTCGAACTCCCAACGATCCTCCTGCCTCAGCCTCCCAAGTGCTGGGATTACAGGTGTGCACCACCACACCCTGCTTCTCATTGGGTTTTGATAGCTGAACTTCAAAAACTGATGCAGTTCCCAACCCAGTATTTTCAGATAATGTCTGTATAGAAAAACTTCACATTTGTGTGCTAGAAATTTTTCTGACATGACCAATTTTAATAAAACTAAATGTAGGAAAACAACATCTAGTATTGGCTAAGTATGAGAACCTAGCATTCTTGCATCCCAATTATAGAAGTAGGAATGGGCACAAATTTTCTATCTGGCTGTTTGAACCATCTATGCGACAATCTTCATATGCCCAAGTTTTTGCAAAAATTGCAAGGAACTCTGAGAATTGACCCAAAGGGCACGTTAAGAGCGGAACAAAGAGATATGCATAAGATGACTTTAACAAATATAATATTCACAGAAGGTCAATAAAACTGGAACATTAACTTAGGGAATGACAACAGATCACCGAATGGAATACTCTACTACCACTAAAAACCATGTCAAATAATTACATTCAAAACTGCAAATATTTTGATATGTAATTATCACATACGTACGAAAAAAATAGCAGTATGTGTTAAAACATTTACAGAAGTTATTTATGGGGATGATGATGACTTTGTTTCCTTATACTTCCTCTCACCTCACCCGTATATCATCTGCATTATGTCTTATACTACGAAAAATTACTCATAAGTCTAAGAAAAAAGAATGACATGAACTCGGGGCAGAAAATAAGGAGATATGATCAAGGTTAAGGAAGGAAAAGCTAAAGCAAGGCTTTTGCTTCTTTTCTGAAAGCTGTGAATAAAGCAGACGTATTCCTAAGGCTCTGAGAGATCACTTGGCCTACCACATCAGATACTCCTCACTAAAGCAAATCAGATAGTAGTTACTCCCTGCAAAAAAGAGGTTCCTTCCTCTGCAATAATTTCAATATACAACCCTCAAGGAATTAACTGAATAGTCAAAAAAAAAAAAAAAGTCACATCATGGGCACAAGTGAGATCTGTAAAAACTCAGAATTCTGTGATTCCTCAGAATGAACACCTGGTTTGGCTGACCTGGAAGCCAAAAGTCAGCTATGGTTCCCCGCCGCCCGCCGCCCACCACCTCGCCCCACTAAATCATCAAAATGTTTCCTTCTTTTAAACTTAACATGTACTCAACATCCGCTCCCTGGCCAGGGCCTGAGAATACTGGATAAAATGCTTCCTTTCCTCTCTTCATAAAACAAGGAGAGGGAGCTGAATATTAAAACAAGATAGCACAAATAAATACCTTTTTTAGAAAAGAGAAGTTCTTATCTATTATCTTCTTTTTCAGTTTATAACATCAGGAAAGCCATCTCTCCATGAAGTTTAAATTGTGAAGTTACTTATAAATTTGGCATTTATAAACAGTAAGCTCAAAAAAAAAAACATTAAGTGTGTACTGTGAACACATATATTAAAGTATGACCGAAAAATTATGTGTCTAACATTCATACCTAGCTTGGAAATTAGTCCCAGCCTATCCTAAGCTTTATTTGAGTCTTTGAACTTTTCCTCAAATGGGATGTTTCACCTGTAATTCTTTGCCTCATCTCTACATTCACATTCACAAATATATAAGGACAAATGGTCCATTCAAATGAGAAGGAGATTAAAATTATTTCAACTTTTAGAATTTTATGTCTACACTGTCTTACCATCTACCACTAGACACATGCCTAGAAAAAACAGTTTTTTGTAAAAATATAATTACTGGGCTGGGGATTTAGCTCAGTGGCAAAGCACCTGCCTGGCAAGTGCAAGGTCATGAGTTCGATTCCTGATACTGGAAGAAAAACAAAACACAACAAAAAAAAATAAAAATGTAATTACTCACTTTGGCACTTTTGATGTGTTGAGATACTTTTTCAAAGTTTCTATCCAGTTCGGCTAACTTTGGTTCTACAAGCTCTCTGTTCGAGCTTCCACGTGCATTCATCAAAATAACGGCCTGATCACGGGCATTTTCAACTTGGAGGCTGGCATCATCCAGCTCAGATATTAGACGCTAATTGTGGGGAAAAAAACACACACACACAAAATTATCCCGTGGCAAATACCAAAATCAAACATGGTTGTGATGCTTACACAGAATTAAAGAAAGTAAATAAAATGTCTGGGATGCCTAGACATCACTTCTTAGAGATTTCAGCGCAACCAAAGAGTGAAAGACATTCATATAAAACTCCCTGGAGTCCTGGGGATATAGCTCAGCAGCGTGGCACCTGCCTGGCCAGCGCAAGGTCCTGAGTTTGACTGCCAGTACCCGCCCCCCAAAAAATCTCCTTGGTAATTTGGTTTCTCCCAACAAAATAAACGTGAATGAGTCAGGAGCAAGAGAAGAAGATGGACACGAGTAACTGAGGGCCCCACATAAAGAAAAGACAACAGGAAAACATCCCATTCCCCAAAGTGTTACTGATTCCTCTAGTTTGCTACCTTGACGATTTCTTCCCGTTTAGTCGCCGGTTTTTTTTCAATCTCATCCAACAGAGCTTCAGCTTGATAAAGCCAGGTACTTATGTGAGCAACGTTTCCATCAAATATTTCCAGCTGGTTCTGATGGTTCTAGAAAGGAATTAATAAAACACAGACACAATCGTATGAAATATTTAAGATGATAATCTCAGAAGCGATTTAAAAGACCTTCAAAGAGCAAGCTGTACAATGAATTTAAAGAAGGGCTTTCGTCTTCTTACACAGCTCTTCTGCAGTGAATAAATCTCAATCCAATAATGAACAGCTGTGCTAAGTCCGTTTTACATTTATTTGATTTAGACTCCATGTCACCAAAAGTGGAAGTACAATAAAAGACAAAAGTTTTTTCTCAATTTCAAGTTTGTTTCTCATTTCAAATTCTTATATTACTACCGATCTCATTTGTTCCCTTCAACCATATTCTTAAAAACTCATCGATTATGAATAAGAACATAATATTAATAAATGATGAAAATGTGAACTGAATGAGATTCTGCCTGTCCAAGAGACACTCTCCACTTGAAGGGCAGGCCCCTCTTCTGGCCAGTGTTGCCAGCCCTCAGCACTCATAGGCACAGACCTCAGTCACGCTCCCTGCAGCAGGACTAAAACGCAAATGAAAGAAAGGATTTGAACGCTGAACAAACACTGGAGCAGATTGAAACTTCAAAAGTTCAGAAGGATAAAAGAAGTTAGCGCTTGATCAAAAAGGTGGGGGGTATGATGAAATTGGCATTTGTCAAGAATGATTTTATAACACAAAGGAAACTAGAAAAATTACAAAAGAATTAGTAAAAGGAAACATTGTTAATCTACAATATAGGAAGAGGATGGAGAAAGGAAGTATTAATTAATAAGTGATATGAAAAAATTCGGACTGTGATCCAGGGACTAAGCAAGAAGTAATGAGCACCAGACTTAGAAATGAAACGCTGTAATAGAAGTAGAAATGTAATACCTGCAAGAGGGATGTGGGACAGACAGACTAAAAAGTCCAGCAGCAAGAGCTCAGAGCATGTGAAATAAAGGTAGTAATAACTAAAATGAACATAACAAAAAAGAATATATAAAACATTTTAAAACATTCTTAAGCTAAGAAGAATATACTCATTATCATATACAACAGTGAACAACTCTGTTAAGATACGTTCCTTTATTCCCATTTTATAGATAGATGAAAATTCCTTACATGATATATAATATATATGGAAATTGAAGCTTAGTGACATTACATTGCTTATTGAAGCTGATGCAGTCCTAAGTCATGGACTCAGATATATGAACCTATGAGATCAAGATCTAAGCCCTGATCTTCATGGACAGACACATCTTCACTGATTCCAATAACTGCTCAAATTTCTTCTGTATCTGTCCACTACCTAGTAATTCTATGAGTTTTATAAGAGTCCTATCAGAGATGTCAGAATTAAAAAATAAATTATAAAGGATCTTCTATTTTTGGAAGGAAGAATGGGGTTACCATATATTCCTTTTTAGTATAAAAGACACAGAACACCACTATGAAAATTAAATGGTCAAATTTCCATGAAATAACAATATAATGCATAAACAGAAGACTACTACATTTACAACATTTAACAATCATAATCATTACAATAATACTTAAAATTGTTCTGCATATAGTTACATGACACCAGTTTAAGTCAATTTAGTAACAGTAAGATAGGTGTACATGCATGTTGTTATTTGACTAAAAGAATTTTGTGACTTCCAACATTGTGAATGAACACTTGGCCTGGTCAAACTTAAAACTGTACCAATCTAACTATCTCATACCAGCTAGTTACCTTTGCCCATTATAACAGTTTTAAGACCAAAGCTTAGACCTGTTAGTTCTAAAAACTGCACCAGGTAAAATGACAATAATGGTCATTTTACAGATGAGAAAATTGAGGCTTAGAGAACATTTTAGTAACTTGACCAGTGTCATTCAGTGAACAGTCAAAATTTTTAGTCAGATGCTAGAACTTATGCTCTTACCTAGTACACTATTATTAGACTATTATAATAATTTCATATGTATATAAATAACCTACAGTAATATGAAAATTAAATTCCATATGACATTTACGAAATAAAAACTATGTATAGCATGACTATTTTATTCCTTAATAGAGATATAGTGAATTTCTTCCAATTCTTACCTTGTCAAAGAGGTAAAGCGAAGTTATTACAGGAAAGTAAAATGGATTTTTTAGTGAAAGTCATTCACGAGCAAAATATTACTGGGACATACCAAAAAACAGGATTGGGAAATCTAATCAAAACTGTAAGCATAGGAGCTGGGGATTTAGCTCAGTGGCACAGTGCCTGCCTGGCAAGCTCAAGGTTGTGAGTTTGATTCCCGTACCAGGAAAAAAAAAAAACTGTAAGCATATAAAAATAATGAAAGGAGAGAAGCAATTTCAGGATGAAATTTCTCTTGCAGCATACCATCAAGGTGTTGCACCAATCCTCGGTCCAGGTGCGAACTCGACTCCACCCAGCGTTGAGGACACACAGCCTCTCCTCTAAGACCGGCTCGCTGCCCACAATCAAGTTCTGGAGCGCAGCACTGCTCTCCGTGATGGTGTTTAAGTCAGCTTTTCTCTTTTCCAGATCCTTCAGAACATTCTAGAAAATAACACCGAGACCCACTTGATCTTTCAGGAATTGTAAAATGTATGTATATTATCTTAATTTTTAAAAACTTTTCTTGTACACATACACAGCAGTCCATGACTTCCTAGATAACATGTAATATTTCAGAGGGTTACAACAACTCAACTTATCAGTATGGTAAGAGTTCTTGAGTTTCTAATGAAAATTTAAGTGTTTAATTAAATAATATCAAAAAGAGTACCATACTCAGATATGAAACACACAGTTATTTTATTTAAGTATAAAGTCTATTTTTTTCAAACATCATAGCCCTAGAAACACAGAACCAATGTTATTCTCAGTAACTGCACATTGGCAAAGCAAAAGGATTTCAGAAATCATAATTCTACAGCATTCATAATAAATTTCTCTTCTAGCCAGGCGTGGGGGCGCACACCTGTAATCCCAGCAATGGGGAGCCTGAGGCAGGAGAATCACTGAGTTCCAGGCTAGGCTGAACTACACAGTGAGTCCAGCTTAGCCTACACTACATAGCAAGATCCTGCCTCAAAAAAAAAAAAATTTAATTATAAACTTATCCACTAGATTAGGACAGAAAATTACTGGGTGTAGAATAATCATTTGAAAGGAGTATGTCCTGTATCTAGGTTGCTTAATATACAGTCTGGCATATAAACATTACAAAAAAATGTTTTATATTAAGTAAATTGAAGGAGAACTAACAAGTCTATGCTTTGGTCTTAAAACTGTCACAACAGGCAAAGGAAACCGGATGGTATGAGACAATTAGACTGATACAGTTTTAAGTCTGACCAGGCCAAGTGTACAGTGACAGTGTTGGAAGACACCCAACTCTTTCAGTCAAATCGCAACATGTGTAGATACCTATCTTACTGCTGCTAATTTCCTTGTGCCATTTTGAAACTGTTGCACTTGCTCCAAATAATGTTAAAACCAAGTACATATTTCAAGGAGCTCAAGTTGGCACATGATCATCATTCAATCATATTTGAAAAAGCAGACAAACTGAGAATTCACAACAGAGCTGAGATTTAAACAGGCACTTGACCACGTCAATTACTAGAATACTTATGGGTGCACTGAAATATCTTGCATGTATTCCTGCCCAGCAGAGAGAAAAGCAGTAGGAGGAGGAGACGGGGAGAAAGAGGGAATAAGAAGGGGCAGAGGTCAGGAGGAGGGATGCAGCCCCCGCTCTCTGCAGTTAAGGCACAGGCATTCCTTCCAGAGTTATTTACCAAATAACTGGAACAGGCTGTTTGAACTAGGAGAAATAATCATCCATAAGAAATAAAATTTAAATAGCACAATAATAACAGATTTTATAATAAAGAAAATATGCTCAAAATGAACCTTAAACTATGAAATAAAAATATTACTTAAGTTCAAACATAAAAATGCCATTTAAGCTTTACATTAAAGTAATTTTACATAATCTTGAAGTGCAAAAGCACTAAAGTGTGATGGAATATGCATGTTTCTTTAATCTGAAGTCAGAATATTAATGAGATGTGATTATTTTTTCACACTGATGTTTACTTCACTAGAGTGAAAAGAATGTGCTATGTGATTTATATATTCCATCTTCATTATTTCAAATCTATAATAAAATTAAGTGGAAATTTAAGAATGTAAAATTCCTTGAGAGAAAAAATTATTATTTACACTCTTTAAATAAATGATGAGTATCAACTTTCAAACTAAATTTGATATTGTGAAAGGGAAAGAAATTGCTGAAAAGGAAAGAACAACTGGGATGAGGGAAAAGAGAAAAAGAAAGAAGGGAGAAAAAAATATATATATATTATATATACACACACACACACACACACACACACACACACACAGGATAGCTAAGACAGTTGTATTACTGACTTCTACTGCTTTATTGAAAGGAACCGGTAATGTTTAATTGTTTGATCAATCTGACATGCCTATATTTGTTTAACTGAGTAACCAACTTGAAGATAACAATATGTAATGCAACAACCACTGTTAATTTCCTATCACCTTGTCTGAAATTCTGTATTGCATCTATTGTTTGGATGTTGTTTTGTTTATGTCTGTTCATTTTTTTCATTTTATCTTTAAAATAAAAAAAGAAAATTTAAAAATGAATTTGGGTACAGAGATAAAGATGATCAAATATTATATATACAATATTTAATACCAGTTACATACTAACCATAAGTACTTACTAAAACAAGAAAACTCATATATTCACATAGCAATAAAATAAATATGTAGAAATAACTTCCCTACACAACTCTTTTTTTTTGGTTTTTTTTTCCTCCGGTACTAGGAATTGGACTCACGACCTTGCACTTGCCAGGCAGGCACTGTGCTGCTGAGCTAAATCCCCAGCCCCTCCTTACACATATATATAATGTTTATGAAGAAAAAATTTAAAACACAATGTAAGGACATTAAAAATTGGTGAGAAAATGAAACATAGCATGTTAACAAAAACACTGAACAAGATATGACTTCCCCTCCAAAAAAAGTCTATAAATATCAAGCAATTCAAAATTTCCACCAGAAGTCTTAAGAATTTGAGAATAATAATTCTAAAGCTCATGTGAGCATTCATCAAAAAGAAAATAAAGACAGGGAACCCCTTAATTATAATTAAAACATGTACATGTAGTTACATAGTTTAACAGTTGAAGAATTGGCATGTTTTAAAGGATCAGATCAGAGAAGAAGAAAACAAAAGAGTCAGGTAAATAAGAATATAGGGATTTGGTGTGACAAATCAGTAGGGAAAATGATTGTTTCCTAATAGACAGGGTTTAACTATTTGGGAAAATGTTTAACACCTTAGCTTATGACTTATAGCAAAATAAACTCCCTAACAATTAAAGAGAAAGGTAAAAAGAAGAAAGTGTGAAGAACCTTTAAGAAACTATAATAACTACATAATGTGGGAGTAAAGCTGGCCTCTCTAAACACTAACGGCAGAAAAAATGATAGATTTCATGCCTCAATAAAATTTCTTTTAAGAAACACAGGACAAAAAGTGCAGGTGCAAAAAGTTGTTAAATAATACACACTCTAATAAGCTTTAATAATCAGGACAGACAGCTCTAACTTAAAAGACAATCTGTGAGTAAAAAAATGGTCTGAATTACACTAATTTTCTCAAAAGAGTTGCAGGTGGCCTCTAAGCTTATGGAAAATTCTCTAATTAAATGGCCAAAACACAATGTTTGCCAACCATTGTCTAGGTCATGGTTAAAACAAGCAAATAAAAATTCTCATTCCCAGGTGGTACATACAGCATTTCTAAATATGTGCTAAACTTTAGAATCTATATACCCCTTGACCCAATTTATCCTCTGCAATAAATTTACAACAATTTACAATAGTGAAAACTGGAAGTACTGTAAATGGACATGAGACAATAAAAATTAAAGTGAATGAAATACTATGCACATCACCAAAATGTAATGCAAAAATACAGGTAAAGGAAAACATACAAGATAAAAGTTTTTCAAAGAAGAACACAAAACACTAGGTACAACATAACTGTTTTTTAAATAGATGCCTATGGCTATATGTGTTAAAATGTGCTGAAAAAGATTAAACCAGCGCCTTTGATTATGTGTGACTTTTGCTCCTTTTCTTATACGGCATTATAGAAATTTCATTCAACTTGCTTAGAGTAATTCCCCATCATCCTCAGCTTCAGTTAACTCTACTCAACCACAGTCCAGAAATAGTGAATGCAAAATTCAAGAAATAAGCAATTTAGAACTTTTGTCCATTGTTCTGATAAGCACAGTGAAATCCCATGTCTTCCTGCTCCTCCCTGACAGGACAGGATCATTCCTCTGTCCAGGATATTCAAGGTGTAAACCCTGTGTATCCACTCACTTCCTGGCTGTTGGGGTTACTAGGTCCTGGCACTGTATCACAGTGCTGTGTGTTCAAATAAACTTTATTTTATTTAATAATGGGTCCAAAGCACAAAGTTGTGATTCTAGCAATTTAGAAAGCCAAGAGAAGCTGTAAAATGCTTGTTTTAATTCAAAAGAAAGAAAGAAAAAAATTGTATGCTGTAGGTGCTGAGATCTATGTTAAGAAATTGTAAAAAAAAGAAAAAGAAAAAAAAAAGAAAAGAAAATTTGTGAAATTTGTGCTACTTTTGCTGTCACACTTCACACTGAAAAAGTCATACCTGTTACCCAAACGAGGGAAGAAAAGACCTGTATCAATGAGATTAGAAATGAAGGGAAAAAAATAAAACAAACAGGTGTGTTGGTGCACATCTGCAATCCCACCACTCTGTAGGCTGAGCCAGGAGCATTTCCACAAGTTTAAGGACAACCTGGGCTACATGGTGAGTTCAAAGGCAGCCTGAAATAGTTAAAGAAAATACTTGACCTACCTGAAAAAAACTAAAAACAAAGAGGAAAATAACAACAGACACAATGAAAATCCAGAATATTAATAAGTACTTCAAAAACCTGTAATCCAATAAATTGGAGAATCTAGAAGAAACGGATACATCCCTAGACACATACCAAGTACCAAAGCTGAATCAAAAAGATATAAAAACTTTGAATACCACAATAATAGGCAGTAATAAAAGTTGAGGCAGTAATAAAAAAACCTAGCAACTATGAAAAGCCCAGGACCCTACAGACTTACCAGTAAATTCTATAAAAATCTCAGGGAAGATCTAGCACCAGTAGTCCTCAAAGTCTATAATGTAATTGAGAGGGAAGGTGTGATTCCAAACTCATTCTAGGATGCTAGCACTACCTTGATTCTAAAACCAGATAAAAACCTAACTGAAAAAGAAAATTACAGACCAATCCTTTTAATACACATACATGCCAAAATTCTCAACAAGATCCTGAGAATGCAACAAATCATTAAAAAGATCATACATCATAACCAAGTAGGCTGCGCCAGTCATTGTTTAGTAGAGAAGCAGATTTAATGTAGGATATACAAATATATAAGGATTTACAAGATTGGCTTACAATGGCCATCCACAGAGTCAGGTGTGGAAAAGTGCAAAAGGACTGTCTGTGCCCTGGAGATCCGAAGGATCCAGTCAAGGCCTGGACCTCACTGTAGTGTCCCCTGCAAGTCCCTATCAGGAAATCAAAAGGTCTGCAATGGAAGGCCAAAGGGTCTTTGAAGGAAGCTAGGAGACACTGCCCAAGGTAAAGGTGAAGACTAGAGCTCCTCTGAAGAAACAAAAGGAGTCGTCTTCCTTTTCCCTTTTTTGCATTCAGGCAGCAAGCCTATTGGTTGCTGTCACCCACACCCAGGGTGAGTTTTCTGTCTTCATTAAATCCCCTCACCCACACCCAGAACTATGCTGATCCAATTTTGTTGGGCATTTCTCACTCAATTGGACACAATCATTAACTATCACAGTCCACCCCTTGTCAACCTGACAATCAGACACATTTCCTTAAACCACGGTCCAGATAAAACGACAAGTTCATAATTACACCTGCTTACAAACGGAAATGCACTAATTCTCCCTCAGAGTACAAGGCAAGTTTTCTTTGGAGATGCTTACCCCTAACCTTTCATATCTTGAACATTATAACATAGGATTAGCAGTACTGAAGAACCAATATTAATTCTATAAACATATTTATAGGAAGCACATTAGGAGAGAACTACTACCCCTGCACCTTAGCAGGTCTTGGTTCTTTCCCTGGTGGGGTAACCCATACCTTCATTCCTGGGGGTTCTGGACCATACGTCATCCTGCCTGGATTGGGTTGTTGTAGTTTCCATTGACCTTAATAATAGGGCATGCTAACACTAAAAGGCATCCTTGGGATCTCCTACACTCCAAATATATTCATCCTTTCCTCCATTGTGCAGTAATAGTCTAATTTCCCCTAGATAGTCTGGGTCAGTATTATGGTTTGGCTCTAGATGTGCCCTAAAGCCTTATGCCGTCTCAGGTGGGCTTTTTTAGGAGATGGCTGAATCTAGAGTGTGTGATTGATTAGTGGTGCAATGCTGGGATTAAGGGTGAATGATTTCTAGATCAGTCCACTGACAGGATTGGCACCACCCTAATCCTGGTAGACTGGATACAATACAAGGGAGAGAAAGAGGCTTGTCTCTCCCGCTTCTCTTGCTTTTGCTGCCATGAACTGTTGCCTCTCTACTATGTGCCACCTTGCCTTGGAGGCAGCTGATTAAGGACTGAAACCTCCACAAACTGTGAGCTACATAAACCTTTCCATCCTTCACTTTGGGTGTCAGGTATTTTATCTCAGCAACAAGAGAAAAATAACTAAAACAGTCAATCGCCCCTGCCAACACTGTGACTCTCTTTTTAGCTTGTTTACTCAGAGCCTTGAGGGGACCAAAATGACTTGGGGGAAATCTGAGCTTCCAGTTCAACGGTACCACTGCTGTGCTTTCTGGTACGAGCCTTCCCCTCTCTGGAACTAAGACTTCTAAGATAGCAGAGCACAAGGATGCAGGAACAGGAGCATAAATTTTGCTAGTGGATCACTACAGGTAATGGTGAGTGCTACCAGTCCCACTTCCACCCCTTGATTCCTGGATCAATGAATCCTGCCTATGGGAAACACGGCACCATATACATAGTGGATGCTGATTCAAAGTATGCACAACCTTTTCAAACACCTCGCTCCAATCCTCCAAGCTACTGCCACCTAGCTTATGTCTCCAAAAGACCATTCCACCTTTCTATCAATGCAGCTGTTTCTGGATGGAGGGAAACATATCAAGACCAGTAAATTCCATAAGCATGAGTCCATTGCCTCACTTCTTTGGCTATGAAATGTGTTTCTTGGGCAGAGACAATGCTGTGTGGAATTCCATGATGGTGGGTAAAGGCATTCTGTAAGTCCATGATGATAAGTTTTGGCAGAAGCATTACATGCAAGGAAAACAGATCTATATCCAGAATAAGTGTCTATGCCAGAAAGCACGAAGTGCTCTCTTTTCCATGGTGGAAGCGGTCCAATAGAACCAACCTGCCACCGTGTCACAGGCTGATTACTCCAAGGAATGATGCCATATCAGGGACTCAGTGTTGGTCTCTGCTGCTGGCATACTGGGTATCAGCAAGGCTGTGGCCAGATTAGCCTCAGTGAGTGGGAATCCATGTTGCTAAAGCCATGCATAACCTCCATCCCTGCTACCATGGCCACTCTGTTCAGGAGCCCACTGGGCAATGACCGGGTGGCTGAAGAAAGAAGTGACTGCTAACTACAGAATGCGTCATTCTAGCCACTTGATTATTAAAGTCCTCTTCTGCTGAGACCACTTTTTGGTGAGCATTTACATGGGATACAATATTTTTAAAACCATTGCCCTTTTTTTTCTGATCAGCACCCGCACCCTCACCCTTACTTCAGATACCATTTGAGGCTGATTAAACTTATGCTGTATTTGAACTAATCAAATTATAAGGGTCTATGTTTGGATTTCTGTAATCTTGATCTTAAGGCTAAAGAGAGGAGATTCTCTTTCAGGACACATATAGAAACTTTCAAATGCTTTATGTGTGTCTGGAGCTGGGAATTTGAATCCTTGAGCTTTTTCTTTTCCTTTATTAATTTGTCCTCAGGATTAGAAAATTTTAGATTTCCTATAGGTGCTTTGGGCTCACTCGTTTCCTACACAGGTTGGCCAGAGATGCTGAGAGCAACCAGCCAGTATCATTATATTGCCCACTCTACCAAAAATATTCAAAAGTATCACAGGTGGAATCACTAAATTCCTTACATCTCACAAGTGGTGAATTAGGATGGTTAAATGGACCCTACACTGTGCATTACTCTAAACAGTTCACACCAAGGACTATCTGTATCCTCCATAGAATTAGGAGAAACCATGGCAGCCTTAGTTCTCATCAAATTAAAGAGCCAACTCTAGCAACCCCTAAAGCCATTGTGGAATTTCATCTTTGCAATTCTATTTCTCTAGAGCCACATCTGGTGCCAAAATCTGAATCAGTCAGGGCTTACTAGAGAAACAGACATAATGCAGGACATATAAACATGTAAGGATTTACAAGATTGGCTGTCACTGGCCTCCCACAGAGTCAGGTGCGGAAAAGTGCAAAATGACTGGCTGTGCACTGCAGATCCAGGGATCCAGGGAAGGCCCAGAGCCCACTGCAATGCAGGTCTGTGCTGGAAGCCGGGAGATGACATCCAAGGCGCAGGTGAACACTGAAGCGCCTTCAGAGAAACCAAGGCGAGCCTTCCTTCTTCATTTCCCTTTTATTCCACTGAGGCAGCAAGCCTTTTGGTTGCTGTCACTTACATCCAGGGTGAGTCTCCTGTCTTCAGTAAATCCCCTCACCCACATCCAAAACTATGCTGATCCAGTTTAGTTGGGCATTTCTCACTCAGGTTGACACAATCAGTTAACTGTCACGTAGATTATGTCCCAGGGATGGAAGCACAATTCAACATACACAAATCAATAAATGTCAAATATCACACAAACAAAAGCAAGGACACCCAGCACTTGGGAGGCTGAGGCAAGAGGATCACTGTGAGTGCTAGGCAGCCTGAGCTACATAGTTCAAGGCCAGCCTGTGCTACAAAGTGAGACCCCTTCTCAAAAACAAAAAAAAGAAAACAAAAGAAAAAACAAAACAAACAGAAGCAAGGACAAAAATCAAATGATCATCTCAACAGATGCAGAAAAAAAGCTTTTTGACAAAATCAACAGCAATTCATGATTTAAAAAAAAAAAATCCTGAAGGCCCTTATCTCAATCCGATAAAAGCCATTCGCAACAAACACGTATTTCCTTCGTATAACCCTTTCTTCACCTCCTGTCCCTCTGAACTCATGGTACATTCACACCTTTCATGAATTAGTCTCCCGAACTGAGCCTGTCCTTCCCAGTGTCCAACAGCCTGACTCTCTCCAGCGTCACCGCCACAGAAGGGCCACAGAGAGCAGTGTCGCGCCAGCCTGCTCCCTCCCAGACCTGCTCTCCACTGCAGGCACTCCAGAGGTGAGCCTTTGTACAAGCACTGTCGATCATTTACTTCCTGCACTCTCTCTAGCATACCTGCTTCTTTCTTAGGGAAGGAATTGAGGAAAACAGCATGCATTGGAGAAAGAACTCCCTTGCGGGCTTTGTCTGCCTCCAAAGAAAGAATTCCCCAATCAACCCTCTCATCTCTGCAGTTTCAAAGCAACTATATGGCTAAAGAGAACTCTAGCATTGATTTTCAGAAATTCTGTCCTTAAGTTATTCACATCAGCTAGTTTGTGAGAGAAAGATTAGTTGTCAGCACAAAAATTATTAAAGAAGAATTAAAATCAGCACAATGCTTTGTAAAGACTGAACACTGAGAAACTGTCATAGATTTTGAAAGTGGCTGATTAAAACATGTTTTCAAGTACCCCATAAGCAATCATGCTTACAAAGACCTCAATGTTCCACGCGGGTCTAATGCTTTTGGAACCCAGATAAAAATATCTTATTAAAATAGTTGCTTTTAAAATGTTCCAGGACAGAGAAATGGAAAAAATAATGGAACAAAGAAAAGGCTCTGTGTAATATGAAACCGAAGGAAACAGTGTCTACCCAGAATGCCCTGAGCAAACACCGCGACCACACACAGGGCCACCTGAATGGCCACTGACCTTCGCCCAGGAGATTTCCGTGTCCAAGTCGCCGAGCACACCTTCCGACGTGGACTTTTGCACCAACTCAGCCTCCGTAGCAGAGAGCCACTCAGAGAGAGAGGCGGTCTCCTTCTTCACCTTCCGGGCCAGCTGAGATGCTCTTTCCAGGTCCTGCTTTCCTTCTGTCACCTGCAGGCGAGAGGAGGTGAGACCGAGATGAGAACGAACACAAATGGGAGTCAGAGCTCCAACTAAACATACAAACTGACCTGCGTTTCACCCCAAAACATGCGTAGCCCACATCTGCAGCACCTCAGAATCCCCCCCAGTGCTACAAGTCTACAGGGAGTCACGACAGCATGGCAGCTGGGTGCTGAGTTGCCATCATAGCCCCACCACTCGTATCTTGTCCCTGTTATGAGAACTAGTGAGAAAATACACACACAAAGGACTGGCATCGCACTTCCAACCAAGGGAGAGTCAGTAATTAGCATGGGTTATCAGTGGACAGAGGTGGCCTAGAATCATCTCAAGGGAGGATTCCCTTTAAGTAAATGTACTCTATTACAGAAATATGGGCGGTAGGGGGAACAGCACATGTTCACAACTCTATGTTTTACAATTAACCACACAACTTAAAACACGGTACACGACTATGCAACATAAACCTTATTAGTGTTTTGTTCTCATTGCTGATCAAGAGCAAAATGGACTGAACTTCTGGGGTGTGCTAAGAATGTTAATGGCAATGTACCCTAGGCTGTAATAATTTTAATTTGTAATTTAAACATCTAATGCATTTTTTAATCATACCTCATACATGTGTCACACAATAAAATCCACAGCAACCCCTGTGATAGGCCCTGCTGTTCTTTCTACTTCATACATAAGGAAAGTGAAACTTGAAGAGGTTAACGTCAAGACAAGAGCAGCATAGTTTACAAGGGTCCATGGATACTCATGGTCATAGCTGCAAAATTTAAGCAGCCTGACCTCAGAAATGGTGTATGTCCATCAACAGAGGAAGGGAAAAAGAAAAGGTGATATCTGTACACATGGAAAAGAAAAGGTGATATCTATACACATGGAGTACTCCTCTGTCATGAAGAAAAATAAACTCGGGGCATTTACAGGCAAATGGATGTAACAAAGTTGACAAGATGTCGCCTTAAGGGATATCACAACTCAGTACCTAAACAAGGTAATTTCTTATTCTGAGGAGTGCATACATACGGTAACAACATCCAAGGAGAAGAGTGGTGAGTCATCCCGGTATATGAAATGGAACTTCCTTGGATGATGCAGACACACAGATCAGATTTTGTTAATAAGTAACATGCGATTACACTTGATTTTTCTGGTCCCTGGGTTCAATTTTATTCTTTCGTACCTCAAGGATTGATTATTCCTTTTTAAGAGCTCACATTTAAGAGTTAAATTCCTTTTTAAGAGTGAAATATTTTTGCCACATAGTTTAATTAAAATTCAAGACTCTAAATTAACAGCACCTCTGCACACGAGTTATAAGAAACACTTTTACTGTATTAAAAGGTATTATGTATTCAAATGATACTTGACTTGGACATGTCCAGACAACTACACAGACATTACAAAATTCAATGCCACGAAAGATTTGTGTAACCTGGAGGAGAATAATTCATAGTTCACCTGATAACAATTCACACCTTTCTCAGTCTAATCAATACATTTTAAGATGTACTGCATATTGAATTAGGCCATACAAAGCTGTAAATTTTTACCTAACCATTTATCCCTTCTCCCTCTTAGTCAACCATTCCTTCTCAGGAGCATTATTTCCATCAGTTACTAAACTGTACTCTTCTCTCACACTAAAAAAAAAATTAAAAATAAATCCTTGCTTTGACCCCACCACCTTTGAAGATCTCTCCGTTTTTCCTATTCAAATCCTCAAAATCACTTACTTACAGGACTGGCTCCATTTCTTTATCTCTTCCACATACCTGGAACCACACCACTCTAGCTTGTACCCTCTTCATGCCACAGAAACTGTTCTTGCTAAATTCAGCAAGAAGCTCAATGGCAACAGATAGAAGGGCACTTCTATATGGCCACCATATTTAACTGTTGATAATATTCAGACAGATGTTTACACCCTTTCTCAAAATACCACCTTTCCCAGTCTTGCCAGACTTCACGTTTTCTTGGTGTGCCTAAGCATTTCTTGCTACTTATTTTAGTTTCTTTCAGAAGCTCATCTTTTTCAAATTTCTTGCTAAATGGTGGAATTCCTAAGACATGGTCAGAGCTCTCTTCTCTGTTCGCTATATCCTCTCCTTAAACAATCTCACCTTTCCTGAAAATTGTAATCACCGCCTCTATGTCAAGGACTCATAAAATCATCTCTCCAGCCCAGATATATTCTGTTGACCTGAACAGCCATGTGAGTAGCTGACATTTCCAATTAATTCTCTCCAAGGTGCTTAAAAAGGCAGCATATCCACTGTGTTCGTATGGTTGTTCCCCCCACTACCTTTCTTTCCAGCACCCCGGGATTCCAATGATGGCGGCAGGAGCATCCATGTGATGAAGCCTAAAGCCCATGACTCAGACCCTGTCTCTCCCTCTCCTCCGGTCCATAGCTAGTCCATCACAAGGTGTTTACTATTGGTCCCACTTCCCACATAGGTCTGGCACAGGCCACTCCATCTCCATTGTCCACCTTAGTTCAGTGACCATCACATATCCCTGAGTACCAGGACTTCCTTGCTGGCCTCCACACATCCAACGCTTGCTTCTCTCCAATTCAGTCTCCAAACTGCAGTGCATGACAGTTTAAAAACACATGTCAGGGCATAGTACCTGCCCACTAAATAAAAACACTGTCATAGCTACTTATTATTGCTCTTAACCCAGAGATTTAAACACAAACTCTATGACCCCCGCAGGGAGCATCTCATCCCACCTTCCTGACACTGTGCTCCCCACTGGCTGGCTCTGTCTCTCTCTGTCTGTCTCTCTGTCTCATCCCTGCCCACTCCACACAAACGCACTACGATACCATAGACCCATTCCACGCACTGCTCCAGGAGACTCTAAAGCCCGTCTTCTGGTTTTATCCTCTTACTCATCCTTCAAATCTCAGCTCCAAGCATCACTTCCTGGGGAAGCTTTCCTAACCCAAGGCTGGGCCAAGTCCTCTTTTAGCGGCACTCTGACAGCATCACATGTTTCTTCAGAACACTTCAGATGGACAATCCAAAATCACCTCAAGTGACTATGTGACTAACGATCTCCCCTTCACCTCCCCTAAACTCCATGAGATAATGTGAGAGCTTACTTCAAGATCCTCATGCTTATAAAGCTCCTGACAACCAGGAAAGTCACAATTAGGTCAAGTGAGAAAATTAATTAATACTAAAACCATAGCCACAAGTAGAGAATGAATGCAAAAAAAAAGCAAATCCACCCTTGTCCATAAGAACGCCCAGCCAGTGAATACGTACCAAATAATCTCAGCTCTATGATACAAAAACAAGCTCTAAGATAGGTGTTCCAGATGTACCATGCACCAAAATGTATCATAACAGAGCAGAGACCTTGTACAGGAGAAGTCAAAATTGCCTAGAGAAAGTACGGACTGTTTGGTCTTATTAGTTTTAAATTAATAACAAAATCTCAAATATTTTTCTCTGGGATTATGCAAAAAGTTCCAAGTCCTTTTAAAGAAGGATCCAAAACTTTACCTAACAGTTTTTGAGGAAGGCTGCCCTTCCATGTGTTCTTTTGCCCTCCACGGTTCATGGCAAAGATTCACAAAGAAAGGACAAGACGCCAGCTGGATCCAGTCACTGACAGAAAATGGCCCTGCCACTCCCACATGGATTCACCAAAATGCCCAAAACAGGTGCTGCTTGGAAGGTTTTTAGATCCAGACAGACGAATATGAACTTCCTGTCAAATAACATGCACTAGAGTCCTATTATTTCAACATCTCTCAATACAATGTTCAAGTGAGAAATCCAAGGATGAAGAATTTGAGTTTATGTAAGGTACCTTATTTGAAGAGTTTCCTAAAAAGAATTTCCTGAAAAGAATACTGAAATACCAGTAGCCATCAATGGTATAAATCTTAATCTGGATTATAAATTTCTACATAAATACCAATCATTGCAATCCTAATGTATCCATTTAAAGAAATGTAGCAAACATGACTGGAAGAATTCATGACATAAATTTCAAACACATTTTCTAAGAAGTAAAATTTAAAATAGAAGAGAGTTCCATAGGATAGCCTGTGTTTAGCAAATACAAGGCAGGGGGTTCAATCCCCAGCACCAAAAAATAACAAGAAATGAGAGACAGACAGACAGACTGTGGCCCTGCAGTTCCCACCTGTGCACCCAGCTCATTGTAAAGGACCTTCAGGGAGGTCAGCTGCTCGTCCATGCCTTTGGGATTGTCGGTTTGTTGCTTCTGGACAATGTGCCGTCCTGTTTTGATCACAGTCTCCACTTCAAGTTTGACTTCACTCAGAGTTTTATACAGTTTCTGTACAAAAAAAAAAAAAAAAAAAATGACAAATTTCACATGGTAATAAAAACTTGTCCACTAGAATTAATTCAAAATGCAGCACACACCAGCTGACAGCTAAGAAGTAACGAGAAAGATCAAAGGGCATTTAACTTTCTCAAATGTGGTTCCAAGGTCGGGTCAAAGGAAACCAAGGCTATAATAACTTTTTCAGATCAGGCAAGAAAATAAGCTAATAGAATTTATGCTTGTTTTAAAAACTCAGATCTGTGTATTCAATGTCTATGAAAATAGTATAAACATTTTTCTACACAAAATGAGAAAAATATTACGACTAAAACATAGATGTCGGCCAGGGATATAGCTCAGTGGCACAATCACCTGTCTGGCAAGCACAAGGTCCTGAGTTCAATTCCAGGTACCAAAAAAAAAAAAAAAAAGAATAGATGTCTAACACATATAAAACTGTATTTTAGATCTAGGAATCTGACTCAGTGATAAACAGCATGGTTAGCATGCACAAGACCTTGGACTAAATTCCCAGCCCAAGAGCACACAAACACATACACATACACACACATTATATTTTTAAAAGTCCTAAGTACTATGACTAGAAAAAGTAAACATTGGCTATTTCTGACTGTTGGGATTTGGAGTTATTAACATTTATTTATTTATTTATTTCTATTTCTTTAAAGAAGCCAGTCTACCCTAATGTGTATGACTTAAATAATGTATGTAAACCTATATAAAATTCAATACATCAAGATAGCTATGACCACACAAAGCCAGAGTTCCGCAGGTCAAGTTCAGAGATGTCCTCAGCCTAGCTGCCTCAAATCCCAAAACTTTGGGCACCTTCTCTTGATGCTATACATCATCATCCTAACCTGAGATATCAGATGGGACATGGTCACCTAACAGCACTAAACAACTGGCATGAGATTGGAGACAGTGCTTGTTCTATTTACCACGCTATTCCAAGAGGTGAGTAATTGCTTATGCATAGGCAGATATATGTTGAAATTTCTCCTATTCATGCACTCTTTCTCCCACCTAAGAAACAGGTATGTAGAAAATGCCGTTTTGAAAAGCACAAAGAATTTTCCCCAGACTTTCAGCTAACAAATGACATCATAGTTTTTCATGGTTTCCAGCCAGAACACCAAGGCTAAGATCATGTAGTCCTAAGCCACATTACTTTAAAATTTCTACTTGACTGAATTATAAAGTTCAAAACTAAAGTAGTAATAAAGCCTTATAGATCATTTCTTCTTTCCCATCTTAGGCTTCAACTTGTATTTAAACTTTTATTTTCCTAGAAAAATGCATTATACTGTAATAATCTGGTCATCCATTCTAACTGTGGCATTACTTTCATCGTTTTTATCTTAGGCTTAAACTTTATAAATTAGGGCTGGGGATATAGCCTCAGTGGCATAGTACCTGCCTAGCAAGCACAAGGTCCTGAGTTTGGTTCCCAGTAACAAAAAATGAAGTAAAATGAACAATAAACTTCATAAATTAGAAGGTTTTTTTATTTTTATTAGAAGTTTAACATTTTTCATCTTATTTTCCTGGAAGAGGGATTTTTTCTTTTAATATGTAAGATTCTGACATCTCTTCAAAGTATGATTCGTCTGGCTATCTCCAATTCATCCTTGAAACCTGGGCATATAGCTCAGTGCAAAGCATTTACCAAAGCACTTACCTAGCATGCACGAAGCCCTAGGTTAAAAAATTATCCTTGCAAAAATAGCCATATCCTGAAGAATTTAGCTGAACTTCACATGCTGCTGAAGTATTCCTTAAAGTCACACTGTAATTAAGATGCTCCCTTTATCTATGATACTGTAATCATTAAATTTACTCTCATTCCTCTTTTTTTAAATTTCTTTGGAAAGACAACACTTTTTTAAAAAACAGTGTGCTTTCCGTCATCAGCCCCAGCATTCAGCGCATCCTGGGCCAATGCCGTGGGCCCCCAGCACCCTCACCATGCACTTCTCCAGGTGGGTCTGCACGACCTCAGGGTCCACGTCCTTCACCTCCAGGACGGGGAGCTCTGCTTGCACACCTTCCAGCACGCGCTTGCAGTCAAGCATGCGCTGCTCAAAGTTAGCAGGTTTCTGGAAGAGCTGGAATTTTGTGGACACTTCTCGAAGTTTCCTCTGTTTACCAAAATGAAAATAATGAGTGACTCACATCAGCATAACACTCTGTCTCACCAGACAGTATTAGAACACATACAGCTAAAACGGTATGAAAGAAACCACCAATGAATGTACTCAGTAACACAACCGAAAGAAGAAACCCTGAAGGAACCAGGTAAGGTTACCTGATCCCTAAGAAAATGCACAGCTCAGGGTTGTCAAGTACACAACAAGCCATGTCTTGATCTCAGAAATAGTAAGTCTGCACAATAAACTTGGACAAAGCTGGCCTGGCTAGAACTAAAACTTCATTAATTTTCTCACTTGTTCAAAAAATATAGCTCAGGAACCCAGAACTCAAATGGCCTTTATCACAAGTTCAGGGTGAAAGTCAATTTCAAAGAAACCATTAAGGAACTACGCAATGCTGCATCCAGGTTCGCTCAGCCACACCAGTCCTGACAGGGGCGGTGTAATGAGAGAACAAGCTACAGAAAGCTGGCCTCTAACTCCAGCTCACCCTCTCTCTCTTCTCAGTTATAAAAATCAGAGTCCGTATTTTTCCACTCTGGCAACCATTTGTTTCGGCTGTCCTGCGGTGCAATGTGACATCAGTACATCACTCCCCTCCCTCAGTTTACATCGTAAAGAATACTGCAGTTCCCAAGTAACCAGCTCTTCCTCCTCTCCGTTCTCTTCCTAGCATATTGAAAATGAAAAAGAAACCGTTCACTTGCTCCTACCTGAAGCACATCCACCTGGCTTCCTCCTCTCGCAGTCCTGCCCTCTGGGGAAGGAGGAGGCTGAGAGCGCAGGGTCCTCCTCAACTCCTCTAGAGTGAGCTCATGAGCTGAGATCTCTGCTTGGATTTTCTACCAAGAGGTTTGAAAGGAGAGAGGAAGAGATCTTGTAAAAAAGCATATACAGAAACAATACCAAAGTTCTATATGGTTCTGTGACACATGATACTGTATTTTCTGAGCTTTCACAAGCTTTAGTAAGTTTATCCTATAACTAATAATAATAATATGGGCTGCCATACTGGACAACTTCGATGTGCTACTGTAGAAGATAGTTTATTTAGTTAGTTTAGGATTAAGGCAGCTAGCTAGTGCAAGGACCTGAGATAGAAGTGCAGTGATCAGCCATACCGATAAAAATTAAAAAGACAGTGAACTGCCTGTCTGGACAAAGAATGAATTTCCTTAGGCAGCATGGCATCCTGCCCACTGCCACTGAGATCCTGAACTTCAAGGAGGTTGTAATGCAAATTAACCAGTTCCATCGGAGATCCCAGTTTACTGCAAACACTGTGTGAAAGAACTCAACCAGACAGCCTGAGTCCCAATTGGTCCTTTTAAATCCACAGCACCACCCATGAGGGAAACTCTAAACAGTTAAGCAATTCCTGTACCCTACGGTCCTGTAAGTAATTCTAAATTGAGGGGCCATGCAGTCACCCCATTTGGAACCCTTCCTGGAAATCCAGGAACTATTTATTCTCCTTCTCCTTTTAGCCTTCTCCTTATTGCTGATAAAACTTCCCTAACTTCTTTGTTTCTTGACTTCACTCTTCTATGTTTGCGGAACCACAAACCCAGAACACGCAGTATCACGATGAACATGCTAACGTCTTTGCACTGGTCATTTCTAATGTTCACAACTTATTTCTAAAGAAGAAACTGTCCCAGCTTCATAGCAAAGAAAATCTCAAGTTAGAAACACTGGACCATTGCCAGAGTCTTCCACAGGGAGCATGAGAACTCCGAAACCTAAAAGTTGCTTCATGAGAAAAGTCAAACATTCTCACTGACACTGGCAGGAGGGACTCCCTGGCACCTGAGGAAACTATCTGTGCTCTTCTTTCCCGCCAAAAGCGCTCAAACGCATGTCAATACCTGAGCTTCCTGTGGGACTTGGAAAGCATCTATCCTATCCGTCAGGTACGAGGTGAGCTGCTTGTCCAGCTCCCCCAAGCTCTCCTGCAACACCTGAAGCATGTGGTCAGTTTCCCGCAGGACCTGCAGTTGCCTCTCCAAGGAAATCTGCTTGCTCTCTGCCTATACACGGGAGAAATTTAATCATTAGCTGTTCAGGACAAACACAAATAGCTGCATATACTTTCTGGATACTAAGAAAAGATTATAAAAGCTCTAGTTCAAAATCTCTGCCTTCTTTATAAATAAATAATGTCATCGCTGGTGGCATGGAAATGTCCTTCTAATATGCTATATACTTTGCAATTAATATCTACTTTGTTCTGTATGCAATGACAAAATAGAAAACTGGGAAGATTTCTTACAGAACACATTAAACAGAATACAATTTATAATTTATTACAAATTTAGAGCATTTTAAGGAATCACCAGTGTCTATCAATAAAAATGTAACAGGGATGTATGTCAATGAAATAAACATTTTAATCTCTTTCAAAACTTAAATTCTATAAATGCACTTAAGGTATTTCACTATTTACTGCATTCTTAAATTAAATGTGATGTAATTTATGGTCTAAACATCAACAGTTATTACAGAGTAGGTGTTTGAAAGCATTTAGTATCTTCCCAGCTTCCCTACTGAAAAAAGTGTTCTTCCTCTACACATATGAACACACATATCAGTAACAGATATGAATTAAGAAATGATGCATTTCTTAACAGTTTATGCCAAATTCTGATGGCCTTGCCAGGTACAGTGGCACACACCTGTGATCCCAGCTACTAAGGAGGCTGAGGGAGGAGGATCTCAAGTATAAGGTCAGCCTAGACAACTTAGCAACTATCTGTCTCAAAATAAAATAAAAACAGCTGGGATAAAGCTCAGTGACAGAGCCCCTACCTAGCATGTGCAAGGCCCTGGGTTCAATCCCTAGAACTGAAAAAGATCATTCTGATGATCCTAATATTCTGTATGATAACAAGTTATTATTCTTATATAGAATTATCATATGATTCTTAAGAAAAATTAAATGTTTCACAAAAGAAATAACCCCACAGATAATTTTTTTTAATCATCAAGTTCTGCCTGCCTTATAAATGATAGATTCATTCTAGTACTTCAAAACCCTCATGTCCCTATTAATATTGCTTAGAACTTCAACCAACATCAGAGCTTCAACCAAGCTTCCAGGCATAGTGGTGCATGCCTGGAATCCGAGCATCCTAACAGGCTGATGCAGCAGGACCACAAATTGAAGCCTCACCCGCACAACTTAAAAAAATAATTAAGAATGAGTAAAGGTTGGGGGATGTAGCTCAATGGAAAAACAGCGGTGGGTCCAATCCCAGACCCCCACAAAAAAAATAATCCTCTAAGTAACATTAACCAAGTAAGAAGTGACCAACTTTAATCAATAAGAAAGCTCCATATGATACGGAGGTTGGTGTCAGGTCCATATCAGAAATACCCAGTCACACTCTTACATGTCCTGATACTTACCAGGTGACTCAGATCTTCGTAGCGGCTATTGAAAGCCTCCAGCTTCTCACTGATTATCTCATCAAGGATCCCCCCGTCAATCAAAGTCTGGCCAAGCTCCCGGATCTGGGTCCGATTATCTGCCGGGTGGCGCAGAACAGATTCCAGAGCCTGAGAAATGGGCAGGGAAAACAAAATAGGTTTACTAAGGCAAACGTATTAGGAGCCTAAAAATGCCATATTTAAAATAAGTAATTTCATCTTCTAGAAAACGACCTGAAGAACAATACCAGGAGTCAGATAAATGACTAATTCACAAAATTAGCCATCATGGTATTAAGAAATTCATAAAATTGAGAAATCTGCATGATATGATGATTTCACAAAAATAATTTCAATAATGACCAGTTATAAGAAAAATTTTAATATGATACAAAGCTTAAAAGCAGAAAAGTACTACACAAAAAATTTGCTCAACTGTTATAAATTATATCACTAAAACCAGATACTTGTTTTTCTGCAAATATTTTATATGCACACTTTCATATATATTAATATAAATCTGATGAACCACACAGACTAAGTATTATTCCCATCTTACAGATGAAAACACTGAAGCAAAGAAGGTAAATAACTTGCCTTACACAGTCAGTACTTGGCTCCAAAGTTTTTAGCACTCAAAAGCCTTTTATCCAATGGACTACCTGCCACTGTGTGTACAGAACAATACTAACTGGGAGAAATACACAAAATATTTAAAAATGCTTATCTTGGAGTTTGCTTTACAATTTTGTCTATTTTCCATGTATTTGGAACAAACACGTAATGGCTCTCACAGCAGAAATCCATTGTTTTACAGCAAGCTTTCCATCGTTGTTATTCTCCTGGCATCTCCCTCTTGAGGTCGAAGGAATGTGAGTTCTACAGTTTGCTGATTTCTGATCTTCACGCCAATCATCCACTCACTCTCTACGTCCTGCCACTACATTTTCGAAGTGTATCTACCCTCTTTCTCTTTCTTTCTGAAGCAAATTTTGAATGAATTATTTCATGATTCATTCAAGAAACAGCTGATAAGTTACCAGTGCCATACTTGCACTGGTACGAGGAACGAAAAGAACCAGGGAGGTTTGTTGGCCCCAGAAGCAGTTAGTCCAGGTTTGCTGACAGGGTCTCCCACCCCTACCACAGCAAGGCTGGCCTGTCATGAACTGCGAACATTAAAGACAACAGACTAAGCCACTGGAAACAGGTTTTTCTGTGCTTAATGCACAAACATGACTTTATGCAAAAGCAAGAGGGCAGCTGTCCCGACTGCACTGAGAGCTTTGCCCAGGGACAGGTGAAATAAACTGGAAACCCCCAAGAGCCCCACCATTTCTAAGAGGCACAAATCTTCTAATAGCTCAGCCTGGCACTAGAATAGGTCCCCAATTATATCATGTTCTTGACTATGGAAATACATCCCGCTCCTGAAGAAAAGGAGTTACAACAGAAACTACCGAGGAAGCAGACATACTTATCCACACAAAGCACTAGGTTCCCCAGTTTAATGCATGTTTGTCCTGACTGTCACAAAACGCAATGCCACCCAGAGCTCAGGTCCTGACCTCTAGGGCTTCGCCAACTGCGTCTGTCTTCTCGGGCAGGACCTCTGTGCTCTTGACTCGCTCTTCCAAAGTGTTTAGCCAGGCATTTTCAAGATCCAAATAATGAAGCAGCTCGATCCAGCAAGACCAGACCTCCTATGGGGCACAAAGACAAAATTTAAGGTGAACGAGGAGCTACTTCTGTACATCATAGCTGCTGTGAGGCATGGCCACTTCAATCAATAATTTCACTTCAGTGTGAGTACACCCAGGAATTTAGATACAGATTGAGCAGGAATTTCAAATAAATGAAATAAAACTGAATCTTTCAATAGATCATATTAGACCAATTAAGGCAGGTGGACAGAGAGAAATGAGCAAGAGGCTGCCTCACTCTTTGAAGTAAATTCCAAGGACCTGATTAAATGTCTGAAATATAACTATAATTAATGGAGGGAATATGAGGAAGAGCTTATTAGTTTTTTTAAATAAAAGGTAAAAATCACTCATAATTATAACATTTTTAATAATTTCGAAGGAAATTAAAATCTGGCTCACACTGAACTCCAGCTCAGAGCTAACTGATGCAAATGATTTGCTGTACAATGTCCCAACTTTTATCTATGTTCATGAGGGAGGCTCTGTACAGGAAGAGGGGTGTATTTTACCCGAAAGAGACTCAGCCATTACTCATTCCCTACCATGAAGGTTCCTGTGATAGGGGATGCATCCATATATAAATGTATCCCTTTATTCCTTATAAAAGGAACCTACTCACTGGTAAACCTAGGAGAAAGAATTCAGCATGGGGCCTCCACTATTTGTTCTTTTTGTTTGTTTGTTTGTTTGTCTTATTGTGACAAGGTCTCACTATGCAGTTCAGGCTGGCCTTGAGCTCATTTTGTAGCCCAGGCTGGCCTCGAACTTACAACGATCCTCCTGCCTCAGCCTCCCAAGTGCTGGGATTACAGGCCTGTGCCGCCACCTCCCCACACACACTAGCTATTTGTTCTCTTTCGAATCTCTCCACTGAGTGGAAACGCACTGTTGTCTCAGCCCTGCTCACCAGCACAGCAGTAGCAATGTTTCCTATAAAGAACCAGACAGAAAAGATTTTAGGTTTCGGGGTCCCTGTCTGGTCTCTTTCACAGATAATTCTCTGCTGTGTGAGAGCAGGTAGGTGGGTGGGTAACGGGGGGTATTCATTTTTAAACCTTTTAGAAATATAGGAACCACTGTTAGTTAACTAAGTGGACAAAGCAAGCCACAAGTTTGATTTGAGTCCTCAACCATAACATGCTGACTCTTGGCTTAGACAGAGTAAAAAGAAGAAGAGGTTTCTACTCCCCCCAACTTCTACAAGCAAAAAACAGAGCAATCTGCCTGTATTTAAGGACGACCTCCTTTCCTGTGGCAAAGAAGGGTACAGAGAATTACCCCCAAGAGGCAGAACTGATTCCCTAATCAAGTGCCTTCCTCATTAACTAGTCTAAATTATCATATTTATCTCAGTGCAAAATAGCTTCAGAACACACAAGAATGCACAAATTTAGCTTACATATTGCCCTTGGCATTTTTTAACTATTTCAGTATTGAATATAATATGCTCACTTGTTTTATGTTTCACTGAATTTAAATTAAATCGTTGTAAATTGCATCTTCAATCTTTCAATAAAACATAACAGAAGTCATACTCATATGAAAGCAAAGAAGCACAAATTGATTTTATTAAGATTTTTATTCAAATCTCATAGAATCATTTACCTACTAAAATGACATTTTATCTAAGGTCCAGCAAAGTAGCATATTTAAGTTCTTATTTTCCTCCAGGATACTCTGTACCTCTGCGCACCACTCAGAATCAAAAACCTCCAGCTCACCTCTCTATATTCATCAAGGCAAAACAAAGCAAGGGAGGTGTTCACAATATGTTCTGCAATTTGGGGACGAGAACAGATCCTATAAATCATATGTTCCATGGAAATCTTGAGGCATATATAAAAAATTGAAGTCAAAAGATATTGAATGACTTACTAAAGAACTTTCTGATAACTAGATATGGATTATTTTATTTTTAAAAAATCTCTCTTTGGTTTTCATCAACATATTTCTTGGCCAGGCATGGTAGCGTACCCCTGTAATCCCAGCACTTAGGAGGCTGAGGCAGGAGGATCGTTGTGAGTTCAAGATGAGCCTGGACTACAAAGTGAGCTCAAGGCCAGCCTGAACTGCATAGCAAGCCCCTGTCTCAAAAAGACAAAAAAAGAAAACCATATTTCTTGAAAACTATCTTCCCTTTATGATCCACCATTTGGAAAAACATTTTTGAGATTTTTCCCCAAAAATATAAGAGTGGTCAGCATATCACAGAGTTCAGATCTCACAAATGTATCACTGGGAAAAAAAACAATCATACCTCTAGTGTGTGGCACTTTCCTCGGATTCTGTTACAAAGAAGTTGGTAATTCTCCAGCACCACGTTCAGCTCAGATGTCAGCTCCTGGCCACCAGAGGGCACCTTGGCAGCTAACAATTTGATGTTGTCCTTCAGAATCTTCACTCTGACCTCCTTCTGTAACACGTCCTCTTTCGCTCTCTGTTCCAAAAAGGATGAATTTGAAAAATACTACCCTTTCTCTGTAACCAATCTCCTTGTATTAAAAAACAAAGCACTAAACCAAAATTTAAACACGCAGATGATCCTAACCGACTGATTGGAACATTAAGTATCAATTGTGTGACTGTTTTTCAAAATAAAAATACAAAGTACTTTCATTCATTCTATGTTCCACTGTGCATGTCCCCAACCAGAATTTTCATTAAGTAACACCAGGGCTAACATTCAAGTTATCCTAAACTGTGTTTACTGATAGGAAATATTTTCAAATTCTAGGTCTAGGATGAGAATCTAAATGAATTCATTTTAATTGACCTCCAGAGGCCTGACCATATTAGACTGAAATACATGAATCTGCACAAAAATTGAGGGGCATTATAGCAGAGGAAGCCTTTCAAAAATCCTATAAATAATCTAAACACCTTTTCCCTCCTAGGACATGGGTCCATCTCTCCTTCTGATAATGAACAGTGCTTCAGAGATGGCAAAGTTACACTGGGACAGTCTGATCTGGAAACCGCTGCGTCCTGACATCAGCTCAGTGCTGCAGATGAGGAACCTCACATCACAAAAATCACCCAGCCTCTCACCTTCCCCTGCAGCCTTCTTCACTGCTTAACGGTTTTCAGTTCCCTGGGGTGGGGGCAAAGTATTTGTCCTGGCTTACTCAGTTCCTAATGGCTGTTTAGAAGAATAAAAATACACCAACCATCACCCAAAGATTTTAATCTTACTTTTCTTAACTTTCAACTACAGTGACTTTAAATACCTCACAGAACTATGACAATAGCGTAAAAGAGGAGACTAAATAGATAATTTAGCCTTGCGTGGTGGCACGTGCCTGTAACCTCAGCACTCAGGAGGCTGAGGCAGGAGGATTGCTGTGAGTCTGAGGCCAGTCCAGGCTAAAAAGTGAGTTCAAGGCCAACCTGAACTTCATAACAAAACTCTGTCTCAAAAAGAAAAAAAAAAAGATAATTTCATATGGGAAGCAACCTCTAAAACATTTCATATACTAATAATGTAAAAATCTTTCAAAAGGAACTACACCAAAAAGAGGTTTCAGAAACATTACAGCTTCAATAATAGTCTTGTCACATTTATTTTCACTCTTATACAACATGCATGCATGTCATTTGATCCCTTTTTAAAAAATATCTACAGAGATTTTTGCTTTCATTATAGTCTTAGGCAAGTTAACTTTGGGGCAAAATATGTACCATGTTGCTTAACTTTATTGAAAAAAATAGCTTTTAAGACACTATCTCCTTTGGTTTGAATACTCAAGGACAATTGAAGCAGTGTTAGAAGTTTGGGAACAATGCCCAGTTCTTTTATTATATATAAAAAAAGAGAGAGTGCAAGACTCTAAGATTACAGGAAGTATGTCCCATGAATCCACCAGAGAGCCTCACCCTTGACTTCTTCCTACTACTCCTCTTACCTGTTCTATGGACATGCTGGGGTTCACGTGTACCCTCAAGTACCTGGGGAAATAAGGGTGACCTCCAGCCAACTGGAGAAGTGTTTGTTCCTTACAAAAACAAAAACAATTCTTCCTGCAAACTTTTGGAAATTGACAGTGGATATGGTTACACAACATCATGCATGCAACTAATACCACTAAAATGTACACTTAAAAACTACTAGAGATATACATATATATATATATATATATACATGATTATTAAATACAGTTCCCCTTCACATTCACTACCAGAAGTTTTGAAATCATTCTTGGTAGTTCCCTAAGTGTTAGAATCTGAAATTTTCTCCAAGACCCTCATGGGCTCAACTCATGGATCAAATTGAACCCGTAGACTCAGCTTTCTTTCCTCACTGAAATCATCACAGTCCTCCTCCCTTTTTCTTCTTTTTGAATTTAAAATCCTATTGTGAGAGATTATGGAAACACATGGTAGAAAACTGGCTAGCTGGTGAGTTTGGTTAGCTGGTTGCTGGTTTTAAAAGAAACAGAGGAAGCACAGAGGCCGCTGCCCCTGACTACCCCAGCCTCACCTTCATCTCCTCCACAGCACTCTCTAGCTCTTCCGGGGACTTGTACTCAAAGTCCCTCTCCAGGTATTCCTCCTCGGCCTGGGACATCCACTCCTGCATCTCTGCCAGGTCTTTCTTCAGGTTCATTGCTTTTTCCTGACTTTCAGACAACCTATTTTTTTGAATAGCAATCTAAAAGGAAAAGCCATTCCCACAAACAAGTTTTAATACATTAAATGTTAAGTTCGAGTTTTTAATATTTAAAAACACATCAATAACTTTCCACAAAGAGACTCATGTTTTAACATTTAGGTAAAACCTTTTATACATTTGGGGCTGATACCATAGAATATACACAGTAACGAAAACAATTTCATAACAGGGATTCTTGGGTTCAGGGGACAACTTGGTGGTAGAGCATTTGCCTAGAATGTGTCTGCCCTGAGTTTGATTCTCAGAACTAGGAAAATATTCATAGCTGGCATTCTATACATTCTGAATACAAATTTAATACACCTATGCATATCTATTATAATTTTGAAAATGCATAATTTTCAATAGAGTAATCCCAGCTGTAGAAATCTAACCTACAGATATACACAAATAAATCTGCCATAGCACTGTTGATGTGGGGGAGGGGACTGGAAGCAATCCAAGTGTCTGTTTTTACCTTTTAAATAGGAGTCCCATTAAGATTTCACTTTTAAAAAGCAGGAAGGACACGGTTACTATGAAGATCACAATGAAATGCTATTCCACAAAATTTTGCTTTTGAAAATCTACTAAGCCAGATACAGAAAGTTATATTACAAAGCAGATACTTGTCTGAATCTGGTTCAGGGCCTGAGCTGAGCATTCAGAGCAGTCTGGAAGCATTTTCAGCAGGCTCCCAGTCCTAACCACAAACCAACTTCCACCGCGGGAGGCGATGCTGCTGCTCAGGCCTACCCCGTACCCAACGTCCTGCTCACAGTGAAGGTCACAGTTCTGGCCACCTCGCCATGGCTCACTGGGCTGCTAAGCTGACAGTAACCAAAGGCCAGTACAGGAACAGGACGGCACTCACAGGACTAAGGGTCAAGTAAGAGTTAGTGGCTTTCCTGTTTCCTCCCTCCAAACGGAATCAGTACTAAAAATAGAGAGCTTCTGTCACTCTCCCCAGTGGTACTCTAGAAGAAAGTGCCAGCAACACACAGTCTGGTTCCCACGCCTAGCTCATTAGTGGTTCAGCTGGTGAGCTCTCCATAAAATGAAGTAGATGATAGATAGATAGATAGATAGATAGATGACAGAGCTGCTAGGACAGATGGATGGATGGATGGATGGATGGATGGATGGATGGATGGATGGATGGATGGATGGGTAGATAATAGATGATAGAGATGATTAATAGGTAGATGATAGATGACAGATAACAGATGATAGATAGATGATAAGTGATAGATTATAATGAGATTGATGACTGATAGATAGACAGACAGACAGATATAAGTAATAGATAGATGATGGGCAGCTAAACAGATGATATATCATGGACAGATGATACACAAACAGATGACAAATGAGACAGCTGATAGATGATAGCTAGATAGATGAGAGATAGAGAAAGATAGATAGACAGATAGAGAGAGAGAGAGAGATGGTAAGCAGGTAGATGATAGCTGGACAGATGACAGATAGAAAGATGACTGATATATGATAGATATAGATGACAGACAGATGACAGATGATACACACACAGATGATAGGTAGATAGATAGATAATGGATTGATAGATGCTAGAGAGAAAGAGAGAGGGAGGGAGATAAATGATAGCAGTTATATGATAGATAAAAGATTGATAGATGATAAATACAGATAGGTGATAAATGATAAAAAGATAGATGATTGGTAGACAGATGATAGAAAGATACAAAGATAGATGACAGATAGACATACAGACAGATATATAAATACATAGATACAGATTCTTGGGCTCCATTTAAAGAAAATTCTATTAGTCCTTTCTGAACAGTAGCTAGTTTTACTGTTTTCAAGGACCCACAAAAAAATAAAAAAAATAAAGATACTATTGTAAGATTTCCAAAACAAAAGCAAAAAATGAACAAACAGAAAAATCCTCAAAAGGATATTTTTTTATTTTATAGCAGTAATTTTTCTTTCTTTCAGTATAACATGAGTGTGATAAGACAATTTCTGTCAGCTGATTGCTTTATATGCCTACCTTTTCTTACTGATAGAAAAAAAAACTCCAAAACATTTTCACTAGTCAATGAAGCCCAATGCTTGGACCTAATATAATAATTACTCATACAATATGCAGATGGCTCCTTGCTAAGGAAGCTTAAAATTTTTCCACATTTATTCCCAAACTTTCAGTCAAAAATAAATCACAGTGACTTCTAATTGTAATATCTGAATGGATGGACGGATGAATATTACATTCCTTGCTCCTTAACACCACTTTCAAACCATTTCCCTATTTACTCCCTCAAAAACTCCAGCTCCTGTAAATATACGTCACCTAGGGCCAGGGATATAGCTCAGTGGCACAAGAGCCTGCCTAGCAAGTACAAGGTCCTGAGTTCAATTCCCGGTGCCAAAAAAAAAAAAACAAAAAACCTTGTTAAAAAAAATACATCATCTGATTACAGCACATATGCAGAAATACAAATCTGAACAGAATATTACATGATATCACAAAAAGACTATTTCCTTAAGTATGGTAACAGCATTCATGGTATTTCTGTTGAACAACCCTGTTCTTGGGAGACACACACAAAAATAGAAGTAGCACGCCATGGTGGCTCTCCTTCCTGTCAAAAGTACATTTATAGAAAAAAGAAAAGGAAGAGAGAGGGGCAGAGAGGGACAGAAAATGTGCTAAGACATAAACAACAGGCAAATCCCAGAATGGGCGCATGGGTTTAACTTCAACTTTTCTTCACATCTGAAGATATTCAAAGTAAGGAAGTTGGGGTTAAAACAACAAAAACAAAACAAAATAAATACAATGATGCCAATATAATTTTTTCCTATATAAATATTAGCCAAAAAGCATTATACTAAGAGAAGTGTTATTTACTGGATGGTCTGTGGAATACGCCTACATTTCACATTTTCTCCTCTCTTTTTCACTTCCTTTCTTGCTCTTTTTTTTTGTTTTTTTTTTTTGGTACCAGGAATCGAATTCAGGACCTTGCCTTTGCCAGGCAGGCACTTGTGCCACTGAGCTATCTTCCTGGCCCTCTTTTTCACTTCTTTTATCACTCACCCTGCTACCTATAACCTCACCATCACTGCAGTCATGAAACTCAAGCAATCAGAAGGAAGCTACTGCATGTGACCCACAGAATGTCAACACAACAGTCTTCGTTCCCACCCTGTGGAGGAGGCAACTCATCCACCCCTTCACTTCACTAAGCACACGTCACTTCAGAAAGAATCTCTCTCACATGCATGAGTAATCTTCTTCTATATGAGGGCATCCCCTTTCACATGATACAGCCTCTAATATACCTCATTATTACAAGTAACAAAAAACCTCTTCAGATCCTCCATCTCCAGCACACATCCCATCTCTCCAGCCCCTTGAAGACAGAAATTGCTCAAAGTTGGTCATACTTGTCCTGCTGCTCATTTCCCACTCTCTCCACAATACTGTCCAATGTCATCCTGCCCTGACGCGCCAGGGAACACGCCTTTCTCAAGGCCACTGAAAGCCTTCACCTTGTCCACGTGAAAGCTCGATTTGCAGTTCTGATGCTGTAGCAGTGCTCAGCCTGGGAAAGTATGAAAAATTTCTTCCCCAGACTCTTGGGCCCTCAAGTTCCCCGGGCTACTCTCCTGTCTACCTGCCCTTTCCTTTTTAGCATCCTTCTGCTTCCAAGGCTGCAAGTGCTCAACAGCTCCAGCTGCATGCCTAAGGGCACCTTAAACTTAACCCTTCCTGAAGGGAAAGCTCCCTTTCATCTATGTCTAGGTAAGCTTCTCCTCGCTGAGTTCTCATTATTTCAGAAAAGGGCATCAAAATTCACAGGAAACAGAAGCTCTGAGGAGGTCCTGAGCTATTCTCGACGGTCCATTTTTCCATAACAGAGAGTCTTAGCTCTATATTCAAAATATAGTCTGAGCCTAGTTACTATCCCTCATGACCTCCACCACTCCCTCCCCAGTAGACGGTTCACCCTCTCTCTCAGTGACCGCAGTCAGAGCAGACGAATTCCTTGTTTCCTTTCTCGCCTTCCTGGAGCACATTATCCACAAGGAAGCCAGAGCAACCTTAAAAGATCAATCATATGTCACTTCCCTGCTCAAAATGCTCAAATGGCTTCTCACTGTACTTGAAAAATAACTCAAAGTCTTCCTCTCCACAACCATATCTAATTCATCTTCTGTCTGCCCTCTGGCCTCCAATATTCCCATTTTCCAGCCCACTAACTCCTCTTCCCCTATTTCAGCAACACTGCCCTTGTTTCTCTCCTGAAAGAACATACCAAGCTCAACCCTTCCACAGAACTTTAAAACATGCTCTTCCCCATGTCTGCAGCCTCTTACCTGAACCTCATGATCTGTCCCTTACTTTTCTCAGTTCTCTATTCAAATGCCCCAGTCTCCTAAAGTCCAGTAAGAAAGAATCCACCGAACTCTAATTCTTCACTATCGCTACCTGCAAGTATTCATCATTCATCCACCGTAGAATGCAAGCTCTTTAAGAGAAGCGTTTTCCTTGTCCATTGCTATATCCTCAGTGCCCTGAATGATGCCTAATAGGAGGTGTTAATGAAAACTAATCATCAATTGACTAATAAATATTTGCTGAATTGAAACACCCTGGCATGAAAGGCAAGGGAAATAAAGATATGTGTAAAGCTGGAATAAAAAGAAAAGCTAAGTCCTGGGTCAAACTGGACAGTTAATGAAGAAACCTAAGGAGGAGCAGGAGGAGGAAAAGAGGGAGAGAGGAAGAAGAGGAAGAAAGGAAAGGAAGAGAAGGGAAGAGGAAAGGAGAAAGGAGGAAGAGGAGGAAAAAGAAGACTTTCTTGCTCCAGGGGCAACTGGTCACCCACGCTGTAGTTTTGTGAACCACTGTTTTTCAAACTAGATGGATTACAACTTGATTTTGCTCATCAAAAGAGGACACTTCACATCTTCAAAACCACAGACAGTGAAGCTGACAAGCTCACCTCCTTGCTAAATTTCTCCAGTTGGGTTTGGTAATCAACCAGCCTTCTCTGCACCCAGGTCTGTATCCCAGCAACTGGACAGCTTCGAAGGTGAGTCTCTATTTCTTTCATGTTTTTCAGAGATGATTCAATTGTTTCTATTTCATTAACAAATGCCTGAACACATAAAACAAACCCATGTTGAATTCATTCCTACAGAAGTAGATGCCATAATTACAGTTTATCTGCCTGGATTCCTGCAAAATCATAATAACAGGCTACCTGGGACTTTTTACTACTCAAGAAATACGGTGCCTTAAGAAATTCATTTCACCTGGGTACTTTGCATAGCCATCTGCTGAATTAGACTGGAAATACTTGGCTCTCAGTGGGAAACACAGCTTTTAATTAGTTTAGAGAAGGCTAATGATTTCACCAAGTGTAAACTGCATGCAGTGTGCTAGCAAATTTCATTTGTTAAATATGTTTTTCTGAAAGCCTCACCCTGTGGCACAGCAACAGCAATATGCAATTGGTAATTATTACGCTAAAGTTACCAGCGTAACATAAGACAGCGGCCCCTAGGGAACTAAAGTTGCTCTTGTTTTCTCTGCCCAAAATTCAGTAACAGTGGCCCAACATTTAAAAATGAGCAATCTGTCATCCTTCTATCAGCAATCAAGTCAAAAGAAGCTCGCTGTATCTAGTTTTAAAGCCATGTCATACTCTTACAATTTTAATTAGGGCAGCTGTAACAAAGAAAATATGATTTATTCCAGCAGGTTCTGCAGAACGGCAGAACTCACAGAGCACTGGTCCAGCTGCCTCTGCAGACCAGCGTCATCGCCTTGGTCAGCCTGCTCTTCCGTTAAGAAGTCTTTCACATCATCCATCCACCTCTCGATGACTTTTGAATCGGCCTAAATGGAACACAATAACAGAAGCGGATATTACTCAGTGTCATTCAACCCACCACAGCTCAAGATATATCACTATGGGGGAGAAAGTAACTTTCCAAGTCTTTGATAGCACCATTTTCATTTCTTTTATTTCTTTGTGTAACCTTCCATCTTTGAGAACTTTTTTCTCACTCAAGACTACAAAATCTTTCAGAGATGGCAGTTCAGTAATCATTATGAGAAATCTCAAAACCCTCTCCATGGAACTAAGCTATTCTGCCTACACGCAAGCAGTAACTTTGCTTCAACATTCAAATTATAGGGCTGGGGATTTAGCTCAGCGGCAAAAGCGCCTGCCTGGCAAGCGCAAGGTCGTGAGTTCGGTTCCTGGTACCGGAGGAAAACCCCCCCCCAAAAAAAAAAAAATTCAAATTATAGCTGGGTGTTGCGGGGCACGCCTGTAATCCCAGCACTTGGGAGGCTGAAGCAGGAGGATCGTTGCAAGTTTGAGGCCATCCTGGGCTATAAAGTGAGCTTGAGGCCAGCCTGGGCTACAAAGTGAGCTCAAGGCCAGCCTGAACTGCATAGTGAGACCCTGTCTCAAAAAGACCCAAAAAAAAAAAAAAAAAATTCAAATTACAGAGAAAAAATACTTTTCTAGGTAGAGTCAGCTAAAATAAGCCTTTTGCTCTCATATAACTTGGAAGAATTTTTCTCCTAACATTAGCTACTCAGGGTAGGGATAAAGAAATCGCATAATGAAGGAATACGATAGTTTTTCCTTAGTTCTACTGTTGGATGCCTTCTTTTCTGGAACCCAGAATGGTGTGGTGTCTAATTCCATTCTTTCATCTGACACTAAGCACCTGCCGTGCTCCAATTAGTATGTACGGTACTAGGGATGCAGAAACAAATAACAAACATTGTGCAGAGAAAAAGACATCAGGAGACAAGGGTGTAGCTTTTAGTAGAGCACTTGCCTGGCATGAAGCCCCAGTTTCAGTCCCCAGAGAGAGAGAGACAGGGAGACTTCAGAGACCTTGGAACAGAAACTCTACTGAAATTAATGGTCACTTCTTTGAACCAAGGCCTCCCATTCCATCACTGGTCAGTCTGTCTTGTTTAGTAATTTCCCTAGGGTTCAGCTCTCTGTATTTTTGTACTTTTCCAAGTTTTTACTTCTTGTTCACTCCTAGCAGTGGAAATGAGTTTACTGGCCTGTGCGAAATAGCCCACGTATTGTCGATTTCTGCAGTCTTCTATGGGTAAACATTCCCATCTCCTTGCAGGGTGCCTCTAGAACATACTAAGTATTGCTACTTGGGGTGCAGATTTATTGCACTGACTGGCTTTCTGTCTTCCCCTTACGAGGTTCTAAGGGATTATCCCAAATACTCTGATAAAGTCAGGACGTGCCAAGAATGATAGCATGTGAATATGATTTGAGCTCTACCAGTGTGTGCTTCTTGAAGTGTGAAATTCTATCACTGTATGTAGCTAATACTCTATTATTCTGACTCTGAAGAAGAGAAGGAGACAGAGAGAGAGAGAGAGAGAGAGAGAGACAGAGAGAGACTGGCTATTTTTTTTGGTGGGGGGGTGGTTCTTTTTGAAACAGAGTCTTGCCATGCAGTTCAGGCCAGCCTTGAGCCCACTTTGTAGCCCAGGCTGGTCTCGAACTCTCAATAATCCTCCTGCCTCAGCCTCCCAAGTGCTGGGATTATAGGCGTGCTCCTCCACGCCCAACTGAGAAACTGACTCTTAGAGAAATGAGTTTGGGCAAGGCGTATTAGGCAATCCTTGTTGATTCCTGGGGGCCACCAAATTCTTTCCCACACACACAGAAGATCCCTCATTGGTTTTTTGTCTCACAGTTCTGCCAGGAGCTAACTTCAAGCTTACTTTAGGTCTTTAGCTTTTAGAAAGTAATGTTCCTCCTTAATGAGGACATTCATCGATCTCCATTTGTCTGGTCCTTTCTCAAAAAGCCACACTGTGACCTTGCATTTATGGGTAAAAATCCCACTGCTATTTGGGATGTAGACTGATGCATCCAGAGAAAGAGTGAATTTTCCATGTGTGTCACCGTGCAGGCTCCAATGTACTTCAATAACGATTATTCCACACTTTCTACTTTTAAGGGCCATTGGTGAAGATGAAAGTAAAAGCACTTCTACGGCAACTGCTCATCTCTTCTGTCAGTAGCACACGCTCTGCCCAGCGTCTTCTGCATCGCGTCTTCCAGGGGCAGCTGCGAGAGCTCTGTTGGTTACCTCTGCCCTTTGCCCACCCTTCTTTCCTCTCTGTGCTGAAGTGTGTCTTTCACTCACACAGGAACATGCACTCTGTTGGTACCACCCAGCTGAGACATTAATTAAAGACAGTTTTGAAAAAGGTAAATTGACAGCTCCACTCACCAAGGATTTTCAGAATTTCTGCGGAAGCATTAGACTCCAAGGAGGTTTTTAATCACAACAAACTTTGATTCTAACACATGCAGCCTTAACTAATGTCACTGCAGATGACAAGCTTTATGGCACCCACCATCTCCTTCCTTTCTTCCTTCTCTCCAGCCTCTCAGATTCACACAGATTCACACAATTCATCTACACCTGTTCCTTCTCCAGCTCTTATATTTTGACAAGGGAAGAAAGGGAAAAGACCGCAGCAGACAGGGACCGCCATATGCAACTGGTCATCCCAGCAGTGACAAAAGCAACAGATGGGAATCTGAAAAGCCGCTGTTTCATGTAAAAATTGTGCACAGGAATCTGACCTCGCTGAGTTCTAAGAAAGGCTCTGTGAATCCTGAAAGGGAAGCCTAGGTCACCAGGCTCAGTGCTCGACAAGCCACTAGCTTTGTGAAACTAACTTTTGTTTCCTGAGTCAAAGTAGCTCACGTGAGAAACGTGAAACATGATACCCTTGCTCAGTTGTTCTGGAAAACTGAGATAAGTTTGGACAGAGATGGTCACAGAGAAGCATGTGATAAACAGAAGACACAAAACTAACTGCTTTATTACTACCAAGATGAACCTCATAAGAAGATTTATCGCTTCTAAGTTTTAGAGTCCATGCCCCATTAGAGACGCCATAGGAACGAGCAGACAGAATTGTGTTTGCATAAGATCAGTTTGATTTTTTAAACTGCTCTCAATATGAGTGCTTGTTCTATCTTTAACTGTTCAAGGGAAATTATTTGAAAGTAACCATTTGAAAGAGCTAACTATTTGAAAGAGCTGCTGTTTCACCTCAAACACAGCTCACCAGATGGAAGTCAGGTCCAAACTGAAGCAATGCCTGCAGCAGCAGATCCACTGGGCACTCCCACCCCGCGGCCGTACCACAGAGCTGCGGCAAGGTCACCAACGTGAGACCAGCCACCACCTGTGTGCAGGAAGTCACAGGAGATGGGGATCTGCTGCACCCTCCCCTCTGCCCACAGCATCTCCTCTTTCCCTGCAAGGAAAACAGTGTCCCAATCCACCTGTGGCAGACAGTTCTTCCGCTTTTGGAAAATATCCAAAGCCAGCTCATCAAAGTCAATTCTCCAGGAAGGGGGTGAAGAAAAACAATACGAAGAAGCTCAGAAGAAAAAGAAACCACATTTCTCTATCCGTTTCAAAAGCACTCAGCTGTGCACTTATGTCTTTCACCTATGATAATAAGTATTTAATTTTTCTTTACCTCCATCCATTTACAGAACAAATGCATGAATACATAGACACGCAAACATACACACACGCACATACAGACACACAGAGGTACTTCGTTTGGGCATCTCATTTCTTGTACGGCAAAACAAAAACAATAAAACTTAGTTCTAAATTTCTAAAATAAATACCTGTGAAATTTAAAATATAAATACTACTCTAGGATAGCCATGTCTTGTTCCTGTTTCTACTCAGAAATATTTAAGTAAAGATTCAAAGTACCACTAGTGTGGTATTTTGGGAAATCAAAATAGCAAATATTCTACTGTGGAATGATCAAAATTCTACATTGCCCATCCCTGATCAAAAGCAGTGATTCATACGCATCCCAGCAGCATACCCTGTTTCTGGATTACAGAAAAGGAATGTTAGGCAATCAATCCATCCCTGTAGCCTCACCTCAGCCTCTCCTGAGCTGGGGCCGGCAGAGATTTCAAGCACAGTAACTCATGGTAACTCAGGACAGTAAGGTTCCAAGGCACACAGCAGCCTGGAAACCTGATTACAGCTAAATTCTTGGCATTTTATCTTGCTCCTCCCCCAGGTGTTGCAATGTCCATAGCTTATTAAGCTGCCAATTTCTGCCACAAGACAGACACAAAGAATGGTGAAATCAGAATCAAAATAGCAATCTAAAGTAGGATTCCTATTTTGTTTGGTTGTACAGTACTCGTGTGCCTCAAAAAAATGACCTTGAAAAAATGTTCTGTCACACAGTAGGAAGGACAAGGAATGGTACTGCCACTCCACTGATTTACCTAAAACTCACCCTGTTCTGAAATCTAAGACACAGAGGACACCGGCATTATTCCCTATAGTAAAGTTAATTATATCAGGTGTACGTCACCTAGAAAGAAGTTAATGCATTAAATACCTGGTTCAGACTGCATTTGACTCACAGGAAGGGTTTACCACGGCACCTTCTAACCTGAGATGCTTCCCAAAATAATTCCAAACCCTGGCTCTTCCAGGCAGAGAGCCACTGCCCGTCCCTTCCCACATTCTGGTCAGCGCATGTCCATTTTGGGGTGTGCCTTTGCCTGCCCAAAAACTGAGGACAGAGGCATGACCGCACAGGTGCCCTGAAGTTGAGGATAACCAGGAATGCAGTTTGTAGGGCCCCAGCGTCACCAAAGGTACAGGTAGGCACAAAGGCACCTACACAGCAATGACAGTCACAGCTGTGCCATCCACAGACCCTCGCTGTGCACCAGGCAAGCCTCCTACCCTCAGACAGCTCCCACCCTTGGGGAAAGATGCAAACCAGGAGGGTGTTAAGGACGCAAGTATAACCGCAAAGAGGGAGGGATTCTCTGGCTGTGGATATGGTGGTGAAAGGAGCTGAAGACAGCATGTAGACAAACCCACCTTGAAGAACCAGCAATACCAGGAGCACAGGAAATCCCAGCAAGTACATTATACAACATTTCCAGACAAAGGCAACAGTCCAGGACGGTCCTTTGTGACCCACCCTAGACTCCCCGCCTGACGCAGCCCCCAGGAGAGATGCAGACAGGACTTGGGCAAGGAAGGGGCAGGGCTGTGAGAAGAATGTGACAGTGGCTCTGTATGTCTCCAGTGAAGACAACCAGACTCCTGTTAGAAACCTGACTCTGGCCCCCATGTGGAAAGTGAATTCCAGAGGGAAGAGATGGGAAGTAGGAGTCTGAGTTACAGGGGAGAGAAACTGCCGGGGAGGAAGATTCCAGGGGAGCCTGCAGGGCCGGAAGAGGCTGGAGGTGGTGAAAACACAAGGCCAGAGGGAGCTCTGTGTGTGCCTTAGAGGTATGTTGATGATCTCCCAGCTTCATCGCACACTGCAGGGGGTCTTCAACAGGGGAGAGGAAACGAAGGGAAACACCACACAGCCCCCATCCCAAAACACTGCCACCGGGCATGAAGAACAGAAATCAGCCACTTCAGATTTCATCTTATCCCTGTCATTCATCAGAAAATCCTGTCAGCCAAATGAAGAATGAAAAAAGAATTCCCTGCTTCTCTTATTTTCAAATGTTTTGCTGCCTTGGCGGGGGTAGTGGATGATCTGTCAAAGCAGCAATTAACATGTTAGTTCAGGAACAGGAGTCCAGGTCACGAGTCTGCACAGCCTAGAAACAAAGGGAGAATTCCAGAACGCGCTTGAGCTTGACACTAACAGCACAGAGGCTCCCTGCCTCGACCTGGGCAGACGCAACGGCCACACAGACAAACGGAATGGAGCTAATAGCGCCAGCAATAACAGAAAGCTACTACTTGCACACAGATAGGGGCCTCTCACTAGTACTGCAGGGTTACTAACGGATAAATAAATAAGCAAACAAGCAAGAAGGTATTTTCAAGATTTAAATGAAAGGCACTGTTGTTCTGAATAGTGAAATTCACATTCCAAGCTCCGTAGTAAACTAGTTATTTACACAACCCTAAACAAACTTCAGTATCAGCTGGTCTATATGCTGGAAAAAAACAGCGATATTTGTGAACTTTTCTTTTTTACTTTGAATACATTAATCTGCAGCAAAGAGCCATTGTTAATATTAGCTGCTTCCAGGAAAGGAAATGACATGGTTACACTACAGTAACATTACATGTTACTGAGGACATACAGGAACTCTAAATGTTTGCTCCATGAATTTCTATGTCATTTGATTCCTTCACAATGAGTACTTTTCATGTATTACTTATATAAATAAAAATTCATTTAAAAAGAAACAAGTTTATTGGGTCCCAAAGAAACATCATTATAAATAGCACTGAATCTTGAGCTTACTGTGCCTCATGACTAGAAGACAAACAGAACTTAAATGACTGAAAAATTACCCACTGGACGTCGAAATAGGATAGCAGTGCTAACCTGCAAATGGAATTTACTACAACTGCCTGATAACTTTTACAGGGGGAGGATATTAAGTTTTTCCAAGTGAACTGTGAGTAGCACAGGAACAAACAACTCTTTCAAAGGAAATAAGAATGTTCTTTAGAGTTAATATGGCCAGGGGTGGGGGCACACACCTGTCATCCCAGCACTTAGGAGGCTGTGGTTAGGTGCACCACCACAAGCTGGAAGCCAGCCTGGGCTACAGAGTAAGTTCAAGACCACCCCGGACTATAATGAGACCCTGCCTCAAAAAACAAAAAGCTTAGCACCTTAGTAAGACCCTGTCTCAAAATAAAATGTAAAATGTAGCTTAGTGTGAAGGCCCTGGTTTTAATCTCCAATACCAGAGACAAACAAACATGTTCAAAGTCTCAGATGTCTGCTACTCGCTGGGCCTCTTCTGCCACTCCAGCAGAGTTACCAGGACAATCTAATTCTCTCATGTAACCACCAGCTCCCCGTGCTCAAACTCTATTTTGGTCATTTTTAAGCAATTTTCTCTTATCTTCAATATCCACCTCACCTTGACCACAAAGACTTCTCTGTAAGATAGAAAGAAATCTGTGTGCTCAACAGCACAGTAGAAGTATGTCTTTGATAAGTATAAGTCCCCACTTCAGTACAGTAAGTCCCTGACTTATGAACAATCTCGTTATGAACTTTCACCGATACAAACAGACCTCAGATTACAAACATTCATAGATACTAACAAATGGCGGAAGTAGCTCGTGTGTCCACCGGATGTTGTCATGGCTGTGCAGCTGTGCGCTCCTGTAGAGTGCAGTAGTGCTTAGTACTGCAGGGCGCAGTCAGAGCCCAGGATGGCCGGGAGCCGGACAGAAAGCAGTGGTGATGAGGAGGGGACTGCTAGGATGCGCAAGGCAATAACCATGGAAACAGGAGCAAAAATAACCGAGACTTGCCAAAGGCAAAAAGATGGTAGATGTCATTCATCCTTATACCATGAATTGTTCAACCATTGGCAAAACTCTAAAGAACAAGGACAAGATCATGGAACCTGTGAAGTCCGCTGCCAGTGGAGTCAACAGCAGTAGCCAAAACGCATGGTGCAGTGATAGAGGAGATGGAGAAATCTCTCTGAGTGTGGATGCAAGATCAGCATCAGCGTCAAATCCTGCTCAGCTTAATGCTTCTTCAAGAAAAAATTAAAAGCCTGTTTGAAAACTTGAAGAAAAATAACAGGGTGACTGGGTCTATCTTTTACCCAAGATGCACTTTGTCGAACTTATGACTCTTCTCCCAGGATGGAACTCATTTGTAAGTCAGGCACTTACTGCGCATAGTACGTGTAGGACTAAAAAGATTACTCAAGCACTAGACACCTCAGTCTTCCGCGACAGTCACCCTTTGCCCTGTAGTAAATGCAAACTCCTGAGGGTGTCTGAATTTACCTCAAAAGCTCTCAGTTTGGAGGCAGTTTCTTCAAGCAAATGTACATCTTCAGAAACCGCGGCCTTTAGTTTGTTCCACTTTTCCTGGGCATCACTGAATTCTTGCTTGTACGTGATTTCTACATCTGGAAGCACACTTCTCTCCAAAGCCTTTGTTTCTTCTGCAAGCTTATATAATGCAGGTTTTTGTTTCTCAAGAATTTCGCCAAGGGCCTGGAAAAAATTCAGAAAGATGAAAAACCCACATAGCAATGCATCTATGCAGATGTCATAACATGGGCTGCATACACTGCCCTAAAAAAGCAATTTATCAAAAAATAATTGCAGATAATTATCAAAAAAAATTAGCTTCCCTTCATGAGATTAGTATAGGGAACACAATATTCTCTACACTAAAAACCTTGAGAATTGCACACCCACTGTGGTCATGGACAGGGCCTTACAGCTGCTCAACTAGATATCAAGGGAAGTATTCTTATTCAACACTGACTTTTTAAATAGAAGTATCAATTGAACTAATATTCCTTACCTGATAAAAGATATTTCAGCAGATGGTGGAAATGTTGAGAAGGTTAGGCTAACGATAATACAATGAGAAAATACAGTTTCCTTCTGTTGATATTTCATAACCATCCTTCCTATTATCTAAGGTCCTACATTACAGCCACTAAGCCTTCAAGTGACATGAAATTCTTAGGCCAATTTTGACCGAGAGTAACCAATTTTTTTAAATCACTAAAAAGATTAGTTTTGAAATGTGTGATAAGAAATATCAGAAATGTGCCAGTGATCTGAGGCACACGGTACCTTCCTTCCTTGTAGCGCCTTCTCCACCTCTGCGGGGTCACTGAGGACACGCAGCGACGTCTGGGCCTTCCGCTCTGTGTCACTGAGGGCACCTTGCAGCATTTTCAGTGTTTCCAAATAGTCGCGTCCAGGTTGGCTCTTCCGTTCTGTTTATTTAAAAACACCTACTTTTAGGTAAACAGATGCACCTTGAGACCATACTTGTAAGTGAAGTACATGGGACGTACACACAGTTTCTCTTGTGTGAGAAGCCAAACCAGTAAATAAGGATCAAAATGGAAGACAGACAGTGTGAAACATGAAGTAAATGTTCAAATGGAAGGGAAACAAGTGGGGTGGGTGGAAGGGAAGAAGGGAAAAGGAAACAAAAAAAATAGAAGGGAAAAATGGAAAGAAAGTTTTTGTAAATAAGACGGGGAAGAAGGGTTGAAGGGAGGGGAGAGGACTGGGGAAAAAAAGAATCAAGATATATCATGTACAGGTACAAGTGTCCTCTGATGAATGTGATCATTATATACATCCAAAGTGGATCAATAAAATTAACTTTATAAAATAAGAAATAAAAACACTCGAGAAAATAATGCCAAGAATCTAAGTACTACATTATTACACACATCATTAATCTTCACTCTATAGGAAGTGAATTCCAATACACAGTTAGACCTCATGGCTAAAATTAAAATAGGTGTCCGTTAGTTAATGAAATAGGTCATCCTGCTGGCATTTTAAGAGGCAGATGGTGACTTCATTCCTGCAGATGTTGATGTTTGAAATATTAAGTAACTCACTATCATTTTTCTTCATTTCATCATGATGAAATGTCTCCCTCAAGCTGGAATGACAATGTTCCTTTTGTCTCACATAAGCTCCTCTTCCCCAATTGCTACACAAAGCATAAAGAAAAACAAAGATCCTCCCCCAGTCATTCAGCTCGGGCATGAGGACAAAGCCATGCTGCTGAGTGGTGGCACACAGCGTCCGAGGAGCAGCAATGGCAACAGCCAGCTGGCCTGGCAGCCACTGCCAACTCTAAAGTAAAAGTCCCACACAAGCTATGTTGGGCGGGAAGGAAGTGAGCGCATTTAAAGCACAAAGACGCAACTGGCTCGCAAGCACAGTTCAACTGCCTTCTGTTTGTTCTCAAAATGAAAGCAGAGTTTGCACCAGTAAGCTAACAAAGGGGTCCTCTCAAACATTTATTCTACACTCTAGGTTAACTATTTCAATGAACAAAGACACAAATGCCTGTCCAGAAGAAAGGCAGTAAGACCCACTTGCCTAACATGCATACACGCAGACTGCTAGCCTCCTACACAATCTACAACAGCCACAAGAAGACGGAGGTTACACGCATGGCTTGTGAATTCTGCACTCCTAGATAAAACAACACAACACAAGCCCAAACCTAAGGAGAGGGGAAAAGAGTAACGTCTGAGGGATGATTTCTGAAACCTTTGCCAGTGAACTTTCCAAAACCAGGTTTATTCCAAAAAGAACACATTAAAGTTCTGCAGATTCTGGAAAAGGAATATGATTTCTTTTAAAAGAGAGCTGGTATTGCTGAAACTTTAACCATTTTGAGCAAACAGAAATTGGTGGTCAGATTTTAGCCTGTGAATGACCAAAGAAACAGTTCTGTTCCTCCTATAAAAATCTCTTGGGGCTGGGGATTTAGCTCAGCGGCAAAGCACCAGCCTGGCAAGCACAAGGTCGTGAGTTCGGTTCCTGGTACCGGAGAAAAACCAAGAAAAAAAAAATCTCTTTATGAGGTCTTTTACACCAGGGAGGTGTAACTCAGCAATAGAGTGCTTCTGCAGCATGCATGGAGCCCAGGGTTTAATCCTCAGCACCACAAAAAGCAAACAAAAATAAACACTCCTTAAAACATCATAATATTCTAATAATACAATTTTAGAGTACTGTAAAGCTGTTTGTATTTTCACAACCAAATATGAGAGTCCAGGAAACAGACCAAATGTACTTTAAGACTTTATCCACACAGGTACAGAGGAAAACAGAGTGAAGCCGGTGTAAAATCCAAGTACTGTGGGTATCAATTTGGGAGTAACTTTTAGATGAAGATGAACTGAGAGAGGAGCTACTGAAATCATTGGGCAAGAAAAACAAGGGAGAGGATTTACCCTTGGCCAGCTGCTGCTGGTGACCCTGTAAAGCCATTATCAGAGCCCGGAAGCGGACCATAAAGTTATCGAAGTCCAACTGGACAGACCCCGGGACAGAAGGCTCAGACTTGAGGGCAGAGCAGCTTAATCGCACCATCTCAATTTTGGGCTGGAGGTCAAGGAGGCTTGTCAGTTCCCTCTGTGGAAGAGAAAATATGGTCATGCCACTTGGTGCAGGTGGACCTCCCCGCAGAAGGTTCATCAGAACAGAACCGACTCAAGTGAGTGACCCAAGCGCACGCTCCTTCCAGATGGTGCTGCGCAAGCAGGCTGGCCCTTACCTGACAACAGTCCTCCAAACTTGGCAAGGAACGCTGGGGAGACTGAGAAAAGGGTGCGTGTTGTACCCACTCCTCCTTTGTCGCTAAAATCTTCTCAAGCTCATCAAGTTGCTTAAAATAAGCACTTATATCTTCCTGAAGCTTCATCTTTCTTGTCAGATCTTCCAGATGCTGAGATATATTCTTCCACTCAGATAAAATCTTCTCCAGGACACGTTTTATTTCATCAGCTGAAAGACCTTCTACACAGAAAAAATGAGCAGACCCTTCATTTAGTATTACAAACCTCATTTGGAATCGATTCTTAATATTCTAACATATTCAAAATAACGAGCCAGTGTCACATGTCATGATCATTCTCTTGGGCCGGGGATATAGCTCAGCGGCACAAGCTCCTGCCTGGCAAGCGCAACATACTGAGTTTGATTCCCAGTACCAAAAAAAAAAGTATAATAATATGATGGTTCTCTTAAGCCCCTTTTTCCAGAGCAACAAAAATAATGAGGCATCTGGAAATATTTAGTTCTTTTTTAACTCCTTGCTCTAGAAGTAAGGAGGGTGCCTTCAAAGATCAGCCCAAGAGTAGCATGGCTATCTCCACAGGCATGTTGGTAAAGGGTCAGACACGGTATCATCCATAGGAAGGGAGTGTCCACACTTAGAGTGGGCAGCTCCCCGTGCTGTCACCTTACACTCTGAGCCAGGAGAGTAAACTCCACTGCCTGAATTTGCCTGCGGTTCTGACGCCAGCAGTTGGACCCTCTGTCATAAGAAATTCAAAGACAGCTGGCTAGTCAAGCTACAAGGCAACTCAGGTAACTAAAACGCAACGTCAACTGAATTGCAAAATAAATGGCAAGAACTCCTTGTGCTGTCAAATGACTAGCTACATGCAGGAATGGTAAGCCAGCAGCTGGGTTCAAGAAGCATCAGCAAGCCCACTGGGCACACTGTACAGAGACAAGCAAACACCTAAAGGACCAGGGCAGTGTTTGGGGATGTAGCTCAGTGGTAGAGCACATGGCAGGCAAGGCCCAGGGTTTGATTCCCATCCTATCAAAAAATAAAAGTAGTGATAAGACCCAGCTAGTCCCCTTCTCATCTTCTCCAGAGTTAAAGACATCATATCTATGTTTATAGCAGCACAAGTCATAATAGCTAAGTCTTGCAAACAGCAGACAAAGAAAATGTGGTATTTACACACAATGGAGTATTACTCTGCTATAAAGAAGGATAAATCTGAGTTATACACAGAAAAAAAAATGCACCTTGAGACTCCAATGTTATGTGAAATACACCAGACCCACAAGCTAAAATTTTGCATGACTTCTCTTATATGAGAAACCCAAGTTATAAATAAATAGCAAACTAAAAGACAATAAGAAGTAGAAAGATAGATTTTTCTCAAATGGAAAGAGATTCAAGAGGTAAAAGAAGGAGGAGGGAAGGGAGGGAACAGGAATGTAAAAGGAATTAAGGTGTGTTGTGTGCATGTACGAAATCCCCACAAGCAAGGTAAAATTGCATTTTGCAAACGTGTACTAATAAAGATAAAAAAGATAGCTACTTTAGGAACACATTAAAAACATTATTTTTACTATACTGATTTTGTCATTTATAGTTGATAATCTTAATAATATGTCATATTTTGAAAGGTAACAATGTTCCTAGTTATACGTAATAAAGTTATACATAGTAATACATAGTATACATAGTAATAATACACATGTCTTAAAGTATAACACATGTCATAATAATACATGTGTCATAAAGTATACATAGTAATAATATATATGCCTTTTCACAGTCTTTCACTGCGAATAAAATACCATCAAAACTATGAAAAAATAAGGGAACCTGGCAATGCAGTCTTTCTATTCACAGCACAAATGGAAAGGATGGGCTTAACACTTTCACTACTTCAACAAGAGGACAATAAAACAATCCTGCTTTGTAAACATATGTAATCAAAGCCTGGAGTAGGAAAACTCAAGACTCAAAAGAAGAACCATGAAAAAGGAGCAACTATTTTGAAGATAGCAATATGCAATATAATAGCCATTGTCAGTTTCCTATCATCTTGTTTGGAAATTCTGTACCTTTTTTTTTTATTCTCTTTAAAAAAAAAATTTTTAAACCAAGAAAACAAAAACAAACACGAAAGGTCACTTCTGATACACACACAGACAATGCAACTTCAAACTTTCTATAGCACCTTGTATCCCCTGAAAATTAGAAATGACATGATTTGAACACATCACTCCTGTCAGCTGCTGAAGCTCACTGTCTATTGTCACACAGGTAATAGACTATCAGACCCATGCAAACCAAAAAAAAAAAAAAAAACACACCTCGTTCCATGTTCTGTTACTGCTGTTAGCAAGGTCAATGAACAAAACAAATCACCATTTTCTTGACCAACTATCTGAACAATGGAGGTACAGGCTATGCTTTTGCCCGGTCATTTCTATTCTAGATAGATGTAAGGAGTATAATATCAGCCACTGCGTTTTTTATGTCAGGGAAATTTACGCTGAACAAGGAAAAAAATTAAACTGGTAAGTAAACTTCCTGAGGTGGGAAATGATTACCAGTCCTCTAGAACACTGGTAGGAGGTATTCACTTCAGGTACTAGGGCAACTGAAATTTCTTCAGTTATTTATTCACAAGCAATGTTTCATGATCCATTTCTTCGGCCTCTTCAAACCACTTCTAAAAACTGAAACATCTCCTGGTCTAAACTGGAAATATTGCTGGCTGCAAAGATGCCACATAATGATGAAATCACAATTTGCATCTTAAAAAAAGAAAACTGCACTTTGTCATTAAAAATCATTGTTTTGCTCCCGGAGATCAAGAGTTATAAATTTTCTATTTCTATGGAATATCCAACTCATGGAAAGTGACTAGTCAAAAGCCAAAATTAGTAATATTTACTAAAAGTACCTTTTTACAAATTATCTAAAAGGGAAAAAATATATTTCCACTATTTACTGTCATTTGACTTCAATACACTTTTCAATCTGTATTACAACAAAGGAAAACGTTCACAAAATATAGGACCACTGTGACAGTTAACCTCCACTTCACTGGCTTGGGAGCTGCCTAGGAAATTAGCAAGGCACAGTTCTGGGCATGTCTGGGTGGGTCACAGAGGGGTGACCTTAGGGTCTATATCTGGCCCCTGCTCCCATTCCCCCATTCTGCTTCCAGGCCACCATGAACTGAGCAACTTTGTTCCACTGTACCTTTCCACTCTGATGTATCTGCCTTGGAGCCAGGTACTATGGACTGTACCCTCTGAAACAGGGAGCTTAATTACACCTGTCCTTCTTTAAACTGTGGGTGTCAGGTTTTTGGTCCCAGTGATAAGAAAGCTGGCCAATAAAATCATGATCAGTTTTGATAATTTTATATACTTAGCCAGCCACAGTGGGTATCAATTCAAAAACACCACTTAATGTAAGTCCATATTATTTTAGTTGACAATCTCCAGGAACAAGATAAGCTAAACCATGAAAACTGGGTGTATCCACCCAGAAGAAAAAATGAAATAAATAATTCCTTCTTAAAACATGCATGAGCTCTGCGAGTGATCCTAAATCTCAGTTAAATGCATCTGTCAGAAAAGTCAGGTTAAAGTTAGCAATGGGGAGCTTTTTGATGAAACTGATTTCAGGAAAACAGTGACATGATTATTTGAGTGTCTGCTTTACTAATGAATTTTATTTGATTTTGCAATGAAACAAAGTTATTTCTCTACATCCTTACTTAGGTGGAGGGTGGACATATTTAATTTTGTAAATAAATCTTCCAATGCATTAGTTATTCATGTTCTAAAATTTACTTTAAATTTCCTGGGATGGGGAGTGGACAGTCTCCCAACTACGCCTTCACCTCTGTTCAACATTGCTGGTGCCATAATAGCAACAGGACTAAGAGCACTACACACAGGTGGAAAAGTAACATGAGGACCTGGAAATTTGGATAAAGGAATAAAACAGTAAGAGTGCAAGGGGCAAGAAAAAAAATCACCTCTCTTCCCTCAGTAACAAAAGATAGATGCTCCTGCTGCCTAAAACTGAAAATATTAAACCCAAAACATAGAGATTCTTCTCAGATCAATGGCCCTATTTTCCAGCTTCTCTAAACATCTTTTTAAAAAATTTAATGTTTTAAAATAAATAGAATCATCATCTTCTAGTGAATACATTTTTAATTCTACTGAAATTAAGGGGAAAAAACCATGGTAATGCAACATATAAAATGTTTCATAAGAACACATGTCAGTGTTCTGACATGTTGTATTAGACCCTTGCAGATAGCAAGAATCTACCTTCCAGAGTTTTATATTTTAGGACCATCAATTCACAGTAAGGTTTTATTGAGCAAAAGCTAAGTTAGCCTATAAACTCTCTCAATTTCTAGACACAGAAGTAAGGACCTAAAGTGTCCCTTGACTTGTCCAAAAGCATAAAACTAGAATGAGAAGAATGCAAGTTCATCCACTCTTCAATTCCCTGCTATTCTCACTACAAATATCACCCATGGCCAACTTCTCACCAAGGTGATGCAGATCGTCACTAATTCTACCTGCCAAGTAGAAGTTCACAGGAATGGGGGTAAATACAGTGCTCAGAGTCAGGAAGTTACCCCATATTCACACCAGATCCTGAGTGCCAGGTACAATGCTGAGAAAGAATCTATGATGGAGCTCAACATAAATTCAATACCCAATTTATTATAATAATTGAAAGAATCAACATTTTAAGGGAAATTGTGGTACTGTTTTGTCTTTGAGTCTCAAGTAAATACCCCACCAAACTGGGGTGCCCACACTCAGGATAACTAAAACAACCCAACAGAGAAGATTTCAAAAGAACATAATGTTCTACTCATGTGTGCTCCTTTACAGAAAGAAACTAACCTTTACTAATAATACATGGAATGACACAAATGCATTTGTATAATTTCAAGATAAATGGACATATATGGAATATATGGATATATGCTACATTTTATGTCTGTGTGTTAAATACCCCAGATATACATAAAATAAACTTTCTGAAAGTCTAGAGGCAAAGATAACCTAAGGCTAAAAACAGTAAGAATAGTGATTTGCTACAGGAGTCTTGGCTGAATCAAAGAGACTTGAGAGAATTTTCCAGAGAGATGGAAACGTTTTGTATAGTGATTTGTCAGTGTGAATTACACAGGTTTATCTGTTTATTAAACACACAACTAGGCTTCCTATATTTAATATAAGTCAATTGTCCTAGGTCAGGAACGAGTAAAAGGATAATAAATCATTCAAGAATGACAGAATATCACTAATTAGCAAAGTGAATAGCTGGTACAAGGAGGTTCATTACATTATTCTACTTGCTTTGTATATAGTTACAATTTCCATAATAAAAAGTCACAAACTAAATATTGAAAACTATTGTTTTGGACACTTTTTTTTCAAACTAATATTTTTAGTTCTGCCCTGGTTACCTGTGGCACTGGTCAAGGAGAGTGGAAGAAGATACCCCTACCCCAAAGCATTCACCTCATGTTAGAATGAGGAATACAGTATACAACAAATGCCTTTCAAAGCAGGCAAAAAGAGCCAAGCATATGGCACAGGCCTGTAATCCCAGTATTCTAGGAGGCTGAGACAAGAGGATCACCAGTTGAGGCCCACCTGGGCAACTCAGCAAGACTTTGTACCAAAATAAATAATAAGAGGTGGGGAAGGACTTATGAGGTAGCTCCATGCAAAGGTCCGAAGTTCAGGCCTCAGTTTTCCCACCCTCCCAAAAAAAGCTAGACCAAAAAATGAACCAAAAATACTAATGTTGAAACTCCTCTGAGTCACAGCTGAAAAAAAAGTTCTTTCCCACAAATAGAAATTTCAAATACAAGTAACATTTACCAGATTTTATTATTTAAAAATCTCTAGACTAAAATAATATAATGCACTGGAAGTGACCAAATATGAAATAGTATTAATGAATTTACCTTTAAGTAACTTCATTTTCCAAATGTTACCAAAGTACAGTTCGCCTTCATTACCTACTTCCTGTGGGAAAAAATTCCCAATAGAAAACCCCAAAGATACACTTACAATCTTCTGCACCACTGGATTTTAACTGTTCTGCTGGGATTTCAGGGTTTCTGATTGTTTGACTCCCTTGAAAGCAAAAAAGACTTAGCTATTTTAATAACAGTGAAAGACTTTATTTTTAAAAGATTCTGGTGCCTTAAATAGTTTTGAAAACCAGTTTTATAGCAAAAGGAGGTTGGAAAGTTTACAGTAATTGCTGAATCTGCCCAACCACAAATACTACTCAAGCTCATCATTTACAAGAATCTAAAAAAAAAAAGTATCAAAGGTCTCACCTTTGCCCATTTGCTCCAAAAGGATTTGTCCAGTTTGGTTTAATTCATCCAGTCGGGAGTTTCTTTCTGTTTGTTCTTTTTCTAATTCCTGAAAATAAAGTCCCAGTATCAGAATGAAGTAGTCCTATTATTCTTCTCCATATAATGTTAGTGCTATTTTAAATGTTTATATTTAAAGCACCTCTTGAATTTCTATAGGTATTTCTGTAAAACTTTACCTAAGAGAATACTACAATAAAAAAGAGATGCCAGTCCAGGCTGCCCACCAGCACTTCAGGAATGAATAAGTTTGAAAAGGTAACTTCCAAAAAACAATGATGTGAACAACTATAAAGCTTTCATTTCTCTTACCCAAAAAAAAAAAAAAAAAGTTCACTATGAGTTCTTATGAAGACAAAAAATTAAAATTAGTGTTTTAAATTCACAAACATACCCTGAATATTCCATATCATAAAAATAATGATTTAAGTCAAGAGAACTGACTGTGTTATGACAGAGGTCACTGAAGGAAAACTAATCAGCAAGAAAAAGAGAGAAGTACTCTGAGCTTTAGTATTATTTGCTGATGTTCTTGTAAGCGTAAGAGTCTAATGCAAACATCAACCACAATCATATCACTTACAAGTTTTTAAGTAATGACAATAAGCTTCAGACCCAAGCTACAGCACTTTGTTCTCTGTGCACGAGGAGTGGCTCCACATTTTAATATGATCATTGCTCAATAATTGGGGGGATTGGTTCCTGAGCCCCCTCTGGATAGGAAACTCTAAGGCTGCTCAAGTCCCTTATGTAAATGGTGTACTATGTGCATTTAGCCTATACGCTTTAAAACATCTCTAGCCACACATAACAGCACATACTTATAATCCTGGCACTCAGCAGGTTGAGGCAGGAGAATCACACTGAAAGCCAACCTGCATCACACAGTAAGTTCAAGGCCAGCCTGGACTACACAGTGAGACCTCATCTAAAAAACAACAACAAAAACCCAGTTTACATTACTTAGGATACCTAATAGAACATAAAGGCCAGATAAATAATCACTATCCTGTATATATTTTAAAGAAAAGTGACGAGGAAAAGATGTGCAGTACAGACACAACCGTCCTAGGTCTCACTCCAGGAACCAGATGCCAAGTGGACAAAGTGTTCACAGCAGGTGCTGGGGGCTGGCAGAGACTCCAGCCATTCACACCTACAGGACACCTCACTCTCACGGCTTTAGCACAGGGTTCTACACAGAGCAAATGTGAAACTTTCTGGAAATTTTGTGACACTTTCTGGAAAAATATTTCCCAACAATTTTGATCCACAGTTGGTTGAATCTACAGATATACCCCAGAGATCCAAAGCACTGACTGTATTTATTTTTTAAAACTGTGTTTCTTCTGTAAAGAGAATAGAGTCATGAAATTTTGAGATGTGAAAAAATTTGTTGTATTCAAAAGGCAAAAGAACTTAGGAAAAACACAAAGTCCAGAGTTCTTAGACGCTAAATGGAAGGGAGCTGCACACAATGGAGAAAATGGTAATGGCTAGTGGATCACGTTGGAAGTGTGGCCCACTGCATACCTTCACAGTTAGTGAGGAAAAAGGAAAAATGATCCTCTGCCTTTCGGGGACTAATGGGAGGTAGGGGACAGGGATTTAGATTTTATTGCCACATTCTAAAATCTATCTGATGCCCCCCCCCCCTTTTACCCCAGGAAGCTCATAGCTCCCAGCACATCTTTAGGACAACAGCAAACCTAGCCTGATAATTTTATCCGCTAGAGTACTTTTGTTTCATGTTTTACCTTCAGCTTCTTTTTCATTTCTGAAGTCTCCTGCGTCTTCTTAAACTCTTTTATCTCTGTGGCCTGCATGGCAGTCTTGGATTTCAAAATCCAGTTCAGCAGCTCCGCACTTACAGCATCAAACCTGATTTAAGATTCACACATTATCATCCACCACTTATTTTCTCCTGATGTTTTATTCCGCTCAAGAAATAACAACCCAGACATCCAATAGATACGGGTTTTGAAACAGTGCCCCCGAAACACGGCAGCCATACAAAATAAAATCGTATGTTTATAGTGAAGAGCGTGAAAAGAGTAATTATTATAGTGTTAACACATTCATTAAATAATTACATAAAAATTTCACTGGAATTTTTATAAGCTCTTGTAGATAACAAAAACTGGGTTTGGATTTGGTTAGAAGATTAACAGAAAAGAGTTAGATGATTAACAGAAAAGTGCAGTGCCTTCTTCTGTTCAGTATGTAATTATGGAGCCTTAGTAAACGCCAGGCACAGTCACAGGTAGTAAGCGCAGGACGGCTGATGGTCAGGAGAATCAGACACAAATCTCAGCCCTCATGAAGCTCCTGGTCACTAGGAAGCACGGAAAGGTGCTAGGTGCCAATTCCTGGGGTGCACAGGAATGGCTCCTACTCCAGCTGTGGAAGGAAGGGGGATGGCTTCCTGGGGTAGAAGCTGGCTCTGCTTAGGAGTTTTCCTTGCAAAGGGAAGACAAAGAAAGGCAACATCACATTCTGCAAACTACAAAAATAGTTAGGTGTGTCAGGAATACACAGTACCTGCAGGGAAGAATAACTGACAATGTGGCCCAGAATCACAAGCTCCAGAGTACGTCAGAACTTAAAGCAGCAACATGGATTGTACCCTCAATTCTTTTGGGAAACTGCACTACATGTTTTTCTGGTGAATTATAACTAATTGTCCTCTCTCCCTGCTAAGTTTTCTTTGTAATATATCATAAAACAAAACTTCTGAGATGTCCTAAATTTAATCTAAAAGGCTGGAGGGTGGAGAGGGGACAAGTAAGAGAAGTTAATCAGTGAACAGCTACCAGCCGAAACCAACAAAGGACTGTTCCACATTCCTGGGCGTTTGTTGAAACCCTGACTTAATGTGGTGGCCAGATACCCCCTCATCTCAGGCATCGTCACCTGAGGTTCACATAAAACTTTCCAGACCACTAACCCCCATCAATCCAGAAGCACCAAGTAATTCTCCATAAGGATGTTCCTATCCCAAAACTTTTATGGCCTCCAACTGCCCTGCCCACCTAGCTATAGCCACTGAGGTTCAATGTTAACAATTTATGGTTTCCTTCCCCTCATTTTCATGGTTGTTAGGCCCAGCAGACATATTTTAAGCTTCTAGCTAGCCTCACTGCCAGAAGTTATCCCAGTACTTGGTCCTTTTCTGACCTGGGTCTTTCACAGCTCAACAAATTTCAGAGAACCCAGGCTCACAAGAGTTTTAATTTAGTACACACATGGGGTTTTGTGCTGCTCCAGGCAAAAAACCAGGAGTCACGGTGTCACAAACAATGCCCCTTCCTCCTGCATCTAAAAGCAGATTTCTATTTAATCACTCAGGGAGAGGAAGACCACCCAGAGACTAGCCATCTAACATAACCTTGGAGACTCAGTCAATCTCTGCCCTCCCAAAGAACAAAAGTGATACAATGATTTCAGGTCACAATAACAGATGTCCACACTTTAGAAAACGAATGTCCCATTATGCGATGGAACGAACATTGGGAAAAACTAGAGTGCCTCACTATGTTTAATGTATGTTTAGGGTACATTAGTTGAAAAAAAAAACAAAACAAAACAGCAGAATCAAGAGTCAAGAGATGACTAGAGGAAGTAAGCAGCCATGTTCTGGTAGGTATGGAGGCTCTTAGGGCGGGCAGGCCATTCTAAGGCACAGTAATGGCGGAGTCTACAGCCCAATGAAGATGTGAGGGTGTGGAAGCCACAGCACATAGGGAATGACTACAGTCTGGACTTTAGGACAAGGAAAACCAACACAGAACAGCTGTCTTCATGAACTGAAGGGGTACCATACTGAAAAGGGACTGTGCAAGTCTACACTGCACCAAAAAGTACTCCACACAAGAGGACTTAGAGGGGGCAGACTTTGGACATAGAAGTAACCTCTCCAATAATGAGACTTAGCCGCCTTCTCCCATACTGAACTGGATGTACTACTGCAGCCTGTTTGTTCAGGGATTAACTGAAGGAATGCCACATCCATCCAATCTTGGAGGTGACGACTGCGGCCCTCAGCACTCGTTGCTCACAACCCCGCCCACCTCTCGCCGATTCTTCCTAACTGTCCGAGTGTCCCAGAACACACACTACAGACAGAGAAAAGGAAGCAGATCATCTCCACCTCCCACACACCCCAGGCATAAACAAGGGACAGCATCCAGCCAGCAGCACCGGGGGAGGAGTTTGCTGAGAGGACAAGACTGAGGATGAAAGCTATCATACAGGAAGGGCAGGCACTCAGGGTGGAGGGATGCCAAAGCCCGTCTCCCATTCGAACTTCCTGGCCTCTGGTCGTGCTGTAATGTGAAACAAGAATGACTTCATCATGTAAGTCACTTTGAGCAAAGGACTTCATTTCCTGCAGCAGAAAGCTCCCTAAACGTACATTAAACATTCAGAATGAGGCACTCTAGTTTTTCCCAACGTTCCATCCTTCCAAATGCACAAAGTGGGCGCAGGAGGTATACACAGTCAAATATACCTGGAGCCAATAGGCACTCGGGAGAGACAAGATTCTGCCAAGATTAACTTCGTCTTCCTCCTGGGCAGCCTCAGCTCCCAAAGCGCAGGTTCTGCAGCTCGCCCCTCAAAGGCTCACTGCAAGAAGAGGCTCTCAGGAGGCAGAATTAGGCTCATTACCAAAGGAAAACAAATCATCTGGTAAAGTTGGAATTTTGTTTTGTCTAACAAAAGCTAAACTAGGAAAAGCATATCATTTTTATTGAGGCCCCAAATAACTTTCCATTTTCCCAAGGTCTGAGATACTACTGTAAAGGGGTAAAATAACGGCCAGCTCCAAAGACTGTTTGCAGGATTTGCTCTTACAGTACATGGAAGGTACAGTATCGGAGACACTGGGTAGTTTAATGGAAATCTGACATCAGCAAATGCTCAATATGTGCTAGCTCTGCCTCATCTTCTTACAAAGACCCTGAGTTCTTTTGAATCAGTAAGGCAGAAAGAGATATTTTAACTAAAGATGCACCTTTCAAGTCAAACATGGAGAATCTTAACAAGTGTTCCTAAAGAATTAACAAAGGAAATAAGAAATCATGAAAAAAGGAATGAAAGGGCAAAAGCGAGGAAAAAGACTAAAAAGAAATTATTATTTGCCTGAATATTTTTCTTTCTTTCTTTTTTTTTTTTGGTGCTGGAAATTGAACCCAAGGCTTCAAGAATGTTAACCAAGCACTCTGCCACTGAGCTACAGCCCCTTCTATTCTATTTTATTTTGAGAAGGAGTCTCACTAAGCTACCTAGGCTCACCTCAAACTCGCAATCCTCCTGTCTCAGCCTCCCAAATAACTTCAATTATTGCCCTGTGCCACTTCACTGAAGTGAAATTAAGTGTTTTTTAACAAGGAGAAGAGGTAGGAGACTTATGAAGAATAAGGAAGTTACTTAAAGCAAAATTGCCAGAGTTGTAAATTGTGAAAGAAAAAATAAATGAGGAGTTACAGGCAATCGCATTCTTTCAAGGTAAGTAGAAAAAGAAGAAAGAAGGATTCATCACAGAGTTGCACAAATTGAACACACCATTAAGAAAATCACCCAGGACATTCTGAAGCTTTGCTAGGGTAAAGCAGAATGTTCAAAAGAGGCAAAGGCAGAGAGTGGTTCAGTAGCTGAATTTCCATCATAATAATTATGTCTAAATTTGCATTTGATTAACAATTAGTACAAAGTAAGTGCCAACTATCAAATACATTATGTGCAATTTGGGGTTTGGAAAATTCCTCTCTCTGTTCTCACTTTTTTTTAGCTTCAGTGTCCACATGGATCTGTCTCTTCTTGGGGGGAGGAGGAGGAGGCAGCTCCTGCTTAGACTTTTTGGTAGTAACTTGTTCTCTGACACGAACGGTCTCCAAAAGATCCTTCTGAGGAATCTGAGACATCCCCAGCTTTGCCACAGCCTGAGTCACCTGAAATGAAAATCGTATCATTTTACTTTTGCAGAAAGGGCTTTATCAAGACCCAATTCACACATCACACTGTTCTCCCTTGGAAAATGTACCACTCATTAGCCCTTAATACATTCACAACATTGTGCAAGCATCTCTGCCTCCTAACTCCAGGACAGTTGTATCACCCAAAAGATAAACTTCACACCCATTAGCAGATAATTCCACTCCCTACTTCCCGGAGCCCTGGCAACTGCAACTCCACTTTCTAAAGAAGGATGTGTCTATTCTGGACACCTTGTATTAATGGAATCATGGCTTCTCTTACTTAGCATAATGTTTTCATGATTCATCCAGATTGACACACAGGCCAAGACTTCTTTCTCACCACACCAGTTCCCTTCAAGAAATGTATTTATCATTTATCACATACATTAATTTTTTCAAAAAACATATATAAAAAAGTAACATATGGAGTACAATGTATGGATAAACCACACTTTATGTAGCCATTTATCTTTTGATAGACATTTGGGTTGTTCTACTTTCTGACAGTTATGAATAATGCTGCTATAAACATTCATGTATAAACCAAAGTTGTATCTCAATTCACTAAAATATTTTTTTGAGATTAATACTGAAGATTTAAGTTTTTGACTGTATATTGCCTTCTTGGCTAAGTATTATTAATTACTACAGATTACACTATGGCTATAATTAGGATTTTTGTATCTATTCAAACTTACTTTAGAAATATGAGGATTTCCATACAAATCCCCATCAATTATTCATCAAATATAAGGAACCAACATGTAGTATACTTACTTATCTTGTATTTCACAAGAACCAATCTGAACATTGCAATTTTACTTCACTGTACAATACACCACCCACATCAAAGGGTACCTGGTTGGAGGAATCTTCCAGCCTCTGAACCAAAGAATCCCATCTCTGAGTCAGTTCCTCTGAGTCACTGATCATCTTCTTAGATGCCTTGGGGTTGTCAAGTAATTGCCCCACATCCTGGCCAATTTCACTCAGTTGATCCAAAGTTTGGCGTTTCATTTCCATGTCTTCCTTCAGAATCTAGTATTTTAGATATTCATTAGATGATTCTCTCTTAACAGGATTTCACCTTCCTATTCCCCCCATCGGGAAATATGAACATGCATATTTTATAACTCACTATGCTAAAACATACAGACTATAAAACAGTTTCAGATCAATGCACAGCAGTGGTCCAGTGTTCAAGAATGTGCCATAACCTATCTTCACTAAATTCTAGTCAGTATTAGTACAAAACACTAGGACATCATAGGCTTACATCACAGACGATGACAATTAATATCACTTACAGCCAGACGTCGAACGCTGACACTTAGTTCCTTCTGGTCTTTGAAATTGCTTGTCTGAACTTTATTCAAAGCCTCTTCCTTTTCAGTGAGCCAGGCTTTCAGCAAGCACTACAAATAATAACAAAAATTTAGAACTAAGTCTGGGACACCATTTAGTAATTCAGTATAATCAAGTTCTCAACCTGCTCATTTTCATTAGTTGCTCCACCTTTACCTGGGGATAAGGACTTCAAACACCCAAGTCAGAGGTGTGAATGACTCAGAAAATGTCTCTTTCTTTAGCCTCCTTAGACCTTCCTGATATTTTCCTCCCATACTGGGTAATTGCTCTGGTTTGGACATGATTTGAGTGTGTCAGAAGTGTATTTCCCATATGGCGAGGTGAAAAGAAGTGAGACCTTCAGGAGGTGGAGCCTCGGGACAGCACTGAGGTCACTGCCGCCCTCAGAAGGGACTAATATAGTTCTTGTGGGACCTCCGTTAGTTCCTGAGAGAAGAATGTTACACAAGAGCAAGACTGACCCCTCCCTGCTCTCTAGCTTCTGGTTTGCCATATGATCTCTCCCACCACAATGCCACGCATCTCAGTGTTACATAGGCAGAGGGGCTCACACCAGAGCCAGCACCATGCTATTTGGCATTCCAATCTCTGAAACTGTGAGCTAAATAAGCCTTTATGAATTATGCATCCTCAGATATTTTGTTATAGCAACATCAAATGGACTAATATAGTAACTAAACCTAGTTCTCTGGAGGAAGGATGGAAAACATCACATTTAATATCCAAATCTCCAAAATAGTCATAACGCTAGAGACAGTAAGAAGCTCAGAGAATGTTTGTCATAGCCCCCCGTTTTAGAGGGGAAGAAGAAGAAAAAAGTCAAGTTACACATGTATGAAGAGCTTAAAGCTAGTGGCTGAGCCAAACCAAGTGCCCTCATCCTCAAACCAGTAATCTCTCCACAACATCATGCAGGAAAACTACATCGGTGTTCAAAGATCACCAGCAACTATGATTAAAGGAGGAAGTCTGAGTCCAAATCTATCTGGAAAGTATTAAAATTCATTGGTCAAAAATGTGTGTTCTTTAAGTAGAAAACAACTAGCAATATTATGAAAAAGCAAGACGAGCAGGTAAAAAAACTACCAATACGGAAAAGCCCAGGCCTTGACAGATTCACTGAGGAATTCTGCAAGAAATTTAGAGATCTCATGCCAGTACTCCTCAAGCTCTTTCATGAAATTGAAAGGGAAGCAATACTCCCAAACTCATTCCTGAAAGCAAGCATTACCCTGATTCCAAAACTAGAGGAGGTCCCAAGCAAAAAAGAGAACTACAGGTCAATCTCCCTAATGAACACAGAAGCAAAAAATCTCAGTAAGATACTGGCAAATAGACTGCAGCAAATCATTAAGAAGATTACACATTATGACCAAGTAGGATTCATCCCAGTGATGCAGAGATGGTTCAACATATGCAAATCAATAAATGTAATATACTGTGTTAACAGGCTCAAGAACAAAAATCGTATGATCATCTCAATAGATGCAGAAAAAGATTCTCATAAAGTCCCACACCCAGTTGTGATTAAAAAAAAAAAAAAAAAAACCTTACAGGAAATTGGAATAGATGGTCTTTATCTCACTCCGATTAAAGCCATCTATGACAAACCAACAGCAAACATTCTACCAAATGGACAAAAGCTGAAAGCTTTCACTCTAAAATCAGGAATAAGACAAGGATGCCTACTATCACTAGTCCTGTTCAATAAAGTTCTGGAAACATTAGCCAGAGGAATTAGACAAAGAAATAAAAGGAATACAGATAGGGCAGAAAGACATTAAATCATCATTATTTGCAGACAGCATGATACTCTACTCAGAAGACCCCAAAAACTCCACCATAAGACTCCTAGATTTAATAACCAAATTCAGCATCAAAGAAGAAAACAAAAGCAACACTCAAAAATCAATAGCATGCCTATACACAAAAATTAAATTCACTAAGAGATAAATTAGGAAAATACCACCTTTCAAAGTAGCATCAAGAAAAATGAAATACTTAGGAATTAATCTAATGAAGAAAGTAAAAGACCTTTACATTGAAAACTACAGTATTCTGAAAAAAGAGATCAGAGAAGATATCAGGAAACAGAAAGATATCCCAACACAGTGAAAAAACCAACATAGTGAAAATGCCTACACTTCCAAAACTGTTACACATATTTAATGCATTCCCAAAATACCAATAGCATACCACACAGAACTACAGAACACAATCCTAAAATTCATCTGGAACCAGCAAAGACACAGAATAACAAAAGCAGTCCTGGGCAACAAAGGCAAGGCAGACGATAGTACAATACCTGACTTAAAATTATACTACAAAACCACTGTGACAAAAACAATGTGGTACTGGCAAAAAACAGACCTGAGGATCAATGGAAGTGATTAGAAGAGCTGGGGTGCTAGCACACATCTGTAATCCCAGCACTCAGGAGGCTGAGGCAAGAGGATCACCGGAAGTTTGAGGCTAGCCTGGGGTAAACCATGACTTCAAAACAGCCTGGATTACACAAGAGCCTGTCTCAAAAAAACAACGCCCCCCCCTTAAAAAAAACCCTCTAAACACACTTAGCGACCTTATCTTTGACAAAGGGGCCAAATACCTTCACTGGAAGAAAGATAGCCTCTTTAATAAACAGTGCTGGAAAAACTGGCTTTCCACATGCCAAAGACTAAACCTAGACCCATATTTCTCACAAGGCACTAAACTAAAATCAAAATGGATTGAAGCTCTAATTATTAACAGAAACACTTAATCTGTGGAAGATAAAATAGGTAAAACTCTCAAAGACATAGGTGTAGGCAAAGACTTTATGAACAAAACCCAATCACACGGGAAGTAATATAAACAACAGCCAGGATTTTACCTTATTAAAAAGCTTTTGCACTCCAAAAGAAATCACCAACAGAGTTAAGAGTCAGCCCACAGAATGGGAAAAAAGTTTTACCAGCTGTTCCTCAGACCAAGGACTAATATGTAGACCATACAAAGAACTCAAAAAAACTCAGAACCCCCAAATTTAAACCCCCCAAAATGGGCATCTAGGATGAAACTGCTCAGATGAAGTAGAAACAGCAAATAAACATATGAAAAAATTTCAACATCATTGGTCATTTGAGAGATGCAAATTAAAACAACACCGAGATTCCATCTCATTCCAGAAAGAATGGCCGTCATCAGGAAATCAACCAATAACAAATGCTGGCAGGGAGCAAAGGGGAAAAAGGAACCCTTCTCTACTATTGGTGGAAGTGTAAACTGGTGCAACCAGTATGGAAATTAGTGTGGAGATTCCTCAAAAAACTGAAACTAGAGGTTCCATTTGACCCAGCTATTCCCCTTCTTGGTATCTTCCCAAAAGAGTTAATAGCAGAGTACCACCGTGATATATGCACACCCAAGTTTATAGCAGCATAATTTGTAATAGCTCAATCTTGGAAACAACCCAAATGCCCATCAGCTGGTAAATGGATAAGGAAGATATGGGATTTTTAAAGAATGGAGTACTACTCTGCCATAAATAAGGATAAATTTCAGACTTTTCTAGGTAAATGGATACACCTTGAGACCATACTCTAAAGTGAAATAAACCAGACACACGTGTAAATATCACATTGTTGCTCTTGCATGAGAAACTGAAAGTGCAATAAGGACCAAAATGGATGACAGATATTGGGAAGTAGGAAGAAAATGTTCAAGTGGAAAGGGGGATGAGGGAGGTGGGAATGGGGAGGGAAAGAGGAAAAAAAGAAGATGGAAGGAAGGAAACAGAAACAAAGATTCTGTAAATACAGAGGGGAAAAAGGGCAGAAAGGAGGGGAAGGGAATGGGGTAAAAAAGAAGAATCAAGATACAGTGTATGGGCACAAATTCCCTATGATGACTGTGATCGTTATGTATATCAAAAGTGTACAAATAAAATGAATTCTTTTAAAAGAAGAGCAAGACTGACCCCTCCTGCTCTCCATCACCTTGAAGAGGAATGAGAAACAGCTACGGCTGCTCTTGGGTAATTCTTCCCAAGCACAGGAGCTGCAGCAGAAACGTTTTCTACCTAGCTGGGAGAGGGGCGACGTTGGTTCTGTATTTGTAATGGGGCCGGTGCTTTCTTAATTGCTGCATTAATCAGTTCACTTGGCAACTGGCCCTCACCTCTGTATCAAAAGAAGAAAGAAAAGGAGGGAAGGAAAAGGAAGGGAAGAGATGAAAAAGGAGGGGAAGGGAGGAGGGACAAAGATTCGGAAAATAAAAGACAAATAGCCTGAGAAGCCCCTAGATAACTTCTCAAACAAGTAAGGCTGAGAAAGTAGGCACATAAATAAGCACAGCACAGGACAGAAAGTACAGACACCACACACACACAGTTAAAAAGCCCTATCTCCAGTAAAAAGTGAGTTAAAGATCAATTTCAAACCTCAAGTCAAACAAGTGCCAAAATATTAGCCCCTCCTCGGTTGGTTAATATCTTTAAGTTCTAAAATTAAAATTATTGCCACATTTTAAATTATTTTATTCAGTAGGAAAGTAACCTCACGGATTTCTCTGGCAATCAATGTCTCCAACTGTCATTATCAAAGCAAAACTTTAAATAGTCTTTGTATCTTTTCTGACCTGAAAAACAAGGTCCCAAATACATTTAATTATCTGTAAAGTGCAATGTAAGTATTTCAGAGTGCAGAATCAGGTCCCATTACGTGACTCATGATAAGAAATTCTAACCAAAGACTGGGGGAAGGGTAATGATTAATAATTTATATTTGGACAAATTTTGCTACCTACTTTTCATGATGCCACCATCTTTACTACACCACAAAAGGTCCTTCCCTCAGTCCTTCCCCTCCTCTCCCTGAAGAGAACAGGGTTGCTTTTCCATGGATAGAAACACAATGCATTTAAAAGAATCTAAATGGACACCATGCGATGTGGGAATCCAGAGCATTTGCTGATTTTCTAGACCACATGCCATGCTGTTTGGCACGTGAGGGGAAAATGCTTTGCGTCTTGGTATTCTGGGTTAATAACCACTTTTCTGGAGGCAAAAGGCCACCCCCATGACTGAAAAAATAGGGTGACAGCTTTGCTTAATGGATTTGCTGTGGTGACCCCAGTAGAGAAAGCATGCAGCTTAATTAAAAGCATTACTAAAAATATTTTCTCGTTAAATTTCAGAAGTTATCCTAGATAAAAGGCAAGAAAATTTCTTGTGATCTAACGTTCACATGGTGTTGTGCAGATCCATTCACTCTTTATTTATTCAGCACAAACCACAGGTTAGGGTCTGTGTTGCCATAGGTCAAACCCATTACCCAATATCCAAGTCCAGTAATATTTATAATGCCCAACAGCACCAAGTAGCATCTCTAAGCACTAACATTACAAGTAATGAGCAGAGACAAATTCACTGCTATTACCACGAAGTCATAAACATGTTCTTTATGAATATGCTGCATGATCAGCTATAAAATGCATAAAATATTATTTTTATTGTTGTTTTGTTTTCTTCTGTTGCAAGAAGGTCTGGCTATAATGCCCAGGCTGGTCTCGAACTCATGGGCTCAAAAAATCCTCCTGTCTTAGCCTCTCAAGTAGTTGGGGCTGTAAGTATACCACCACACCTGGTTTAGAAATGTGATTTTGAAAATGATAAAGAACTATTTCTACAGGGTGTGGTGGAACATTCCTATAATCCCAGCACTGGAGAGGCTGAGGCAGGAGGATTACCATGAGTTTGAGGCCATTGAGCCTAGCCTGGGCTACATAGAGAGACCCTGTCTCAAAAAAATAAAAAATAATGAACTACTTGTGCATTTTCCTTTCGAAGAAAACAGGACAACTTTATTCTAATGTCATTGTAAAACAAGGATTACTTTCCCTGATCTGTTGTATCTCTGAGGCATAAAAGTTCATACCTGCTGTTCCAATAATTCCTGCCACAATATATTGATTTCTTGTAATCGGTTCCAGCGTTCCTCAGTCCAGCGGCACACAGCTGTCCAGCGCTCACCAAGTTTCTAGGGAGGGAAGAAGGGAAGAAACCAGGCTCTGTGAAACCAGCCTGAAGGGAGTCAACATGATCCTTCGAGAAATTTCCCACTGTTCTTTATTATAGATTAGCAATTCGTGAAAAACACTTGTATAAAAGTGGCTTTAAATAATACAGATTAATCCTATAAATACAGAGTAATCCTATAAATGCACAGGTGAGAAAAAAAATGTTTTTACGTTACAGAATGTAACTACTTATTTCACAGTGCTGAGCTAGAAAGTAGCAAAACTAGAATTGCACCCTGCTCCTTCCATTTCACTGTGGTTTTATACGAGAATGTGACATTTTTATGTGGTCTGAAAATAAAGCAAACACATCTACTTTTTGTACTTCAAACTTCTCAGGCTGTAAGTATCTTTTTCAAAAAAGTACGTCAATTATACCTCTTAACCACCTTTTACATGCCAAAAACATTTTTATCTATAACAACAAAATTTTGAAAAAGTCTAACTTATTAAAAACTATTCTTGAAATAAAAGAATTTCTGCAAAACAATAAAAGGTAATCAATTTGTTCTGTTTACCTTACAGGATCCATGGAAAACTCCACAGAAATTAGCAACACAATGTTATGCGTATAAGCAATATAAAATAAATAAATAAATGCGATTAATTTTTAGAAATCCTTCATGATAGCTTTCCCAAGAATGTATTTTATAAATAGCGATTAATGGGTGTTAAAAATGTATTTCCAAGTTCTGGTCATGCAATTCACATTATACTGCCTCAATGCTTAGCACCAGCCCTAAGCTGTTTACAGTACAAAGGATAGAGACCTGAGGGCACAGGGCAGCTCTCCAGTCAAGCAAGAGCACTCATTGTCTATTTCACCCCTGGGCCATCACTTTATCTCTCTCACTTTCAGCTTCATCATTGCCAAATAGTCAAAAGAGGAATGCCTACCTCTGGGGTTACTATAATAAGTAAACACTATTGCGCTAAAGTCTCAGAACCACTAGCCAACTTTAAATACATAGAACAGAGACTGGAAGTTACTGGAAATAGTAAACTGGTAACATCATGCCAGGCAATCCGAGTATCATTCAAGTGAAATGCCAGTAAATCTTTCTGACAAAGACTTGTAAAGATATTCTGTGGCTTGGTGCAAAAAGAGGCAATTCACTTAACTAAAAATGTTGAAACTCACATATGGACCTACCAAAGAAACAGTGATATTAAATGCTAAATAGCAGAAACCCTAGAAGGAAAGTCAAGTATCCATAGGCACTTTTATCTTACACTACACACATTCCCCGTGCTCCCCAGCCTCCCCCAACACACAGACACACAGAATCAGGTCTGCATAGAGCTGGGATCTCCATTTTCACAAATTCTTCAACCAATTCTGAGCAAGAACGTCTCTAGCCTGCTTGTTGCAACCAGTTCCTGTGCTTTCAACTCATGTTAACCTTATGCTCCAGGAACCTGGGCAATCAGACCTGCCTATTCACCCAAGGGCTGAAGTGAAGAAGTAATTCTTGGGTACCCCTATAACCTCCATGCTAGGGAACCTCAACTGGGGGAAAAAAAAGGTAGGTGTTATGTGTCGTCCCTCCAACATGCATGTAAGAGTTTCATCCTCAGAGCCTTATATTAATGGTATTTAGAGAATAAAAACTTAAGATGACTATGGTGTTTACAGGTGGGGCCTCTGGCAAGTGACTACATTAGATTAGGTCATTATGGTCATTATGGTGAGGCCACCATGACTGAATCCTGCCGGCCTTCTAAGCAGAGGAGAGACCACATAGACCGAGATACAAATGCTCCCCCCATGATGTGATACAGCCAACAGGAACCCGCACAAAAGCCTGTACCATGATGGTTGGACTTCTGGCTTCCAAACTGGGGAGCTAAATAAACCTCTTCTCCTTATAAGGAAGTCATAAAGAAAGATCAGCTGAGTCATTTGTAGGAAAATGAATGAACCTTCAGACCTTAATGTTAAGTGAAATAAATCAGACACACAAGCTTAGACATTGCATGGTTTCTCTTACATGAGAATCGCAAATCATAAATAAAGAGCAAAGTAAAAGAGAGATAATTAGGAAGTAGGGCAAGAGATCCTTCTCAAATGGGAAGGGAATCAAGAAATGAAGGAAGGAGAGGGGAAAAGAAGGGGATTTAAAAAAAAGAGTGAAGATGTGTTATGTGCATGGACCAACCCTACATGAGGCATGGAAACATGATGAACTGTAAACGTACAAAAATAAAAGTAGAGATGAAAGAAGTCTGCCTCAGGTATTTTGTTACAGTGATGAAAAGGTAACAGACTGAGTTTTCCTGTCCTTCCAGATCAACAATGAGATGAGACCTAAAGCACAGGAACATTACATTATTGGGTGTTGGGCCATGGGCCGGTCGGGGACCTTACCTGCAGCTGATCTTCCAGGACAGCTGTGGCACTCTCGCTGTTGCTCTCATCTACGATCACCACCATGTGAGTTAAGGAATTTACCTTCATCTGCTCGGCCTCAAGATCGTTTTGCAAACTCTAGGGGAAAAAATAGTTCAAGTAAACTAGTATTTCTACCCTTGCACATTTACCTATTTAAAGTCCACTCTGCTGTCAACAGTAATGAAGGACACAGAACGAGGCATCATCACACTTCAATTTCCAGTCATTAAACTGAGTGTTCTTCTAATGAAACGCGCCCACTGCACATGCTTATACTTCATTATACACCAAAGCAGCCTGAAAATGCAATGTCAGAAGAGATCGCAAATAGGACATTATCACTTTTATTCTAAGTTCTGGCAAAGGAAAACAGAGGATAAAAGAGTTGAGTGGCTATCCTAGGGATTAACACCAAAATGTAGAGTTAGTAAATCAATAAGTCTAGAGCTTACACAGACAGAATCAGGGGCGATTTTATCTAATGGTATATGGCATAAAGAGAGAGAAGTAGATTGCTATAAGATACTCAGAAGCCATTCTGCTTAGCTACCCAGAAAGCAATTAAAGACATAAGGATGCCTTCCATTCCCCCCTCTTCCATGTGAAAAGCACAGTCATCAGACATAGAGGTAATTTGTTTAAACACTACCAAAAGTGTTATCAAATGCTTCCTAAGTAGTATTCAATGTATCCCTAAAGCTTTAGGAAGGAGGTATCTAGATATTTCATGGATCAATACAAGTCTTCAACTTACAGAGAGGATAGTATGCTCTCCCTTTTCTTATTGTGACTATGGAAATTTATCTAGTAAACTTGTGACCAAATTAAGCTGTCAACCACATGTTTGATCCTCACCCAGTATCTGATACCTTTCTGGATCAAAGAAGAGATAACAGGTTTCCTTAAACAATCTATCTCTTCACCCACACTTTGCATAAATGCCACCACCCTAGGGTTCTTAACCACCTAGGAGGCCAAAACGACCCTTCTGAAATCTTAGGAAAGCGTTGCACTCTCACAGGAAAACCACGCAAGCTTGTACAGAGTTCCTCCTGCACTGTCATCCCCGGCTTGGAAACATCAGAGCCCCGTGAGCTCCACCCTATAAGCTAAATAAAAGATGACATGGAAGATGTGTCCCACTGCCACACTAACAAGAGAAGCCATCAGCTCCTGAGAATGCTAAGTGCTGCTCTTCCATATCTGATAAGGTAGCAAAGAAACAGGAGGCAGAATTACTTTGTGTTCTTTGAGGAGCTTTTGCAGGGATTCCAAGTTGTCATCCAGCGGACAGGTTTCCATCTTCTGAATGCGTTCTTCCGTGAGGGTCAGCCAGGCCGACAGCTGCTGCAGCTGCTTCTTCTGCAGTTCCATCAGCACGTCATGCAGCCTGGTCAAGGGACACAGTATTTCTGCCACCAGCTCTTTTCTCCACCCCAGGTACCAGAGAAATGGGACCCGGGAGCATACCCATGTCTAGCCCTTACAGTAGTGGCATTTCGCCTTTAAATATAGAAACCAGGGTTAATCTTCTTCCTAAATAGAGTCTATTAAATGCAGTCAAAGAATGCAAATAATAGAACCTGGGGTCATATCAAAATCATTGTTTCTTCAAACAGGAATTCCTACTTATTAAATAGGTGGAAATAGCAATGAAATACAATATATAATACACACCAAAAAGTAAAAAGGTACATGGGAAAAAACCGATTTAAAAAAATGTTACAAAACAGAAGAGGAGGTCCATATCAAATTGTCTTTTTTTTTTTTTTTTTTTTTTTTTTTGTTTTTCTCCGGTACTGGGAACCGAACTCACGACCTTGCACTTGCCAGGCAGGCACTTTGCCGCTGAGCTAAACCCCCAGCCCCTTCAAATTGTCTTATCGTCATACACAGTTAATGTCTTGCCATTTTAATACTACAGCAAATAAACAATTGGCCACGTGGAATATCCTTTCTCTTTTCATCAATTTCCATATTTCAACTTTTACCTTTGGACTTGGCTAAACTATCAATGAAGATCATTCAAAATTCTGGCGACGTTACACACAGAAAAGTGAGCACGTTCCAAGGCTTCAGTACTGATCTTGTTTCCCACAGACAGGCAGATTTCTGCTCGAGCTCAACCAGGCAACGCAGCCTGTGGGACACGGTGCTGCCTCCGCAGCGCTCACTCACCGGGACTGCCTCTCCATACTCTCCACCCTCAAAGCCTCCCATCTGGCATTCAGCAGGGTCATCTGCTCCTGAATCTCAAACTCCTCTTCATCCGACAGAGTGCCCTGTGTTATCAGCTGGTTGCCCGCCTGCAGGACATTCCCCACGCTGCTCTGATGTGCGGTCAGCTCCATCATGAAAGCCTGCAAAGGTACATCATCGCGATTTGTGAGCTGCTCAGGGCCAAAAAAACCCTTTATAAATTGCTGGTACATAACCCAAGTATCAACGCAGCAGAGGAAGGTAGCCTAGAAGAATGCAGATAAGGTTCATCTTTAAAAAAAAAAAAAAAGATAACAACAATGAAACGAAGTCTCAAAACAGGTTAGTAGGACAATTACAATAGTTGATACACGGCATAGGCATGATATCTTGTCTATACGATAAAAACACAAAACTTCCTTTTTAATGAACTAAGAGAAACTATCTGTACAACTATCTTAACTGTCTTGTGTATATTTTTTCCTTTTTCCCTTTCTTCCTTTCCCCTTTCCCTCATCACAGTTTGTCTTTTCTTTTGAACAGTTTCTTCTCAATTCACAATATCTATTGTAGATCTTGATATGATGCTTTAAGCTCTAGAAATAGGAAATAAGCACCTGGCGTAACTCAAAAGAAAAACAGATAAAGAAGAATAATATTACATCCCATAGTAGCTGCCTTTTTAAAGCAAATGGTGATTAAGTTGCTAATAATAGTGTGAGTGGAATTAGGAGTAAATATAATAAAGACACACCACACTCACTCAGAAGGAACACTACTATTTCTATCCAAAACGGCAAATAAAATCTGACAATTCACATGCCTCTGCATCTGTAGACAAAAACGTGCTTAACCAAAAAGAAACCTTCACAGAATCAAAATCACTGCATTGCAATGTAACATATCCTCAAAATAGAAACTCTTGTTACATAAAATTGTACAGGAACACTGGGTATGACATTTGCTTTATCACTGAACACATAAAAATAATCACTTCCTGGGAAACACTTCAAACCTAAAGATCTGGTATATTGATTAGTCATTTTGTTTTTAACTATAGCAACACACTCCAGAAACGAGCAGGACTATGCATTGATTTCTGTTCACGTGGCTCAACAAAAAATACAAGTTACCAGAAAGCTAAAATTCAAAATCTAATTCTAATGCAGTTAATCACCCACCCTAGTTTTCTAACAAAGATCTATTTAAATATCACAGTTCCTGAAATACGCCCTGACCTTTTGGTGGAACAGAATCCACAGTAACCATCAGGGCGGGTCCCTCCTTGAAGCACGGGCCCCACAGCCGATGGATCCACCCTGCAACAACAGACACTTACTTCATGGGTGGCAAACTGCTCTTTGACTTCTTCCACATCGTCAGAAATGTCATCCTGTTCCTGGAAAGTGTCCTCGGCAGACAGCAACCAGGTCAGCACTTCTTCCAGCGCTATCTGGTAGCTGTCCAGATCCATGTCGACCTCGGTGACAGTGCTGGGGGTGTCAGCCCGGGGACTCTCGTGCTCCTCCACTGCCGCTGTACTCTGAACACAAACCACGAAAAACCCACAACTGTCAGGGAGACACAAGGCATTCAGCAAAGATACAATGTAGAGAATGCGGGACAGGCACGCCAGTGTCTCGGGCATGAGCCCAACTCTCAGGAGTCAGGCAAGCAAGGCCACGAGTTAATCAGAAAGCATTTATCTACTACTCTGGAGCAGAAAAAGGCACAAAAGTCACACATACACACACTCATGAGTCCTGGCTCATGGCAATTCTAATATAGCTGGGGAAAGAAATAACCCACATGAATCATTTCTAAGCAAAAATAAATGGCTATGTACAAAATTATAAATGCCATGGTCCCATCCAGGGTTGCTATTTGAGGTCACCAAGGGCTAAAGCAGTTAGGAAAGTTTCAGAGGAGCTGAAAAATGTGAGCCTCAAACAATGGGTGTATTTTACAAAAAAAAGAGAGAAATTAGAATTCAGCTTTGACACCCCCGCCCATTTAAAATGATTTTACTGAACTGTATTTTAGCACTGCAACTTAAACAATGAAAAACAGCCACACATACAGCCCTGGTTTTTGAGGCAACAGCCCTGAGTTCTGATCTCTTTCTCTCTCTCCCTTCCTCCTTCCTTCCATCCCTCTCTCTCCAGGTTCATGGAATAAATCTATCTCAAGCTCTTCCAAAGCAATGGAGTTTTTCTTTATGTACTTAGAATCTTATAACCAAACCTACTGTCTCTCTTGGTCTTTTGATACTGTTCAGGGGGAAACTTCTTGAAGACTCACCTACAGACTATCTCCCATTATCAACTCTCATGCAGAATGTTTACATAGGAACTTTCACGTGTACATAAACGAACAGAGAACAATAAAAGCCACCCTTACGTACTTAACAGCTACTCTTTATTAACATTCCCTTTCACTCTGACTTGATATCTTCCCCCAACTCAACTAGACAGTTGCCAAGTCTACTTTTCTAGCATGATCTTTAAGGTGATCATATAATTAACCAACAAACAGGAAGGTTTTTTGATAGTAACGATGCTACAACACACACATTAAGAACAAACCCAAACAACTGGTCACCCCACGTTTCTCACTTAAATCCTCAGGATCCTTCCATGTGGGTGGCTAGCTACCCCCACCTTCTGAAGCACCGTTTCCCTAAGTCAGTAATCACACAGGTTCCCTTCCGGTCCAATGGCAGCTGCGAACCTACTAGTCATCCTCCAAATTAAATCTTCTTTCTTCTCTTCTCTCAATATATTCTGCCTGAGTAATCTCATCTAATCCACTGGATTTAAACAACCATCTACAGCCCCCAGACATTTTACCACTTTAGTTTTGGTCTCAGACTCTCTCCAGAACTCCCAACTCCTACATCCAACTGCCTAACGTCCCCACGGCAATGGATCACAGGCATAGCAAGCCAGTCCCACTGTTAAGACCCTTCTTTCCTGAAACCTGTTTTTCCTCTGAAAAGTAGGGAGCCAACCTTAGTTTCTTGCTTCTCTGCCACATTTATTAATTCTCATGTTCAAAATGTATTTGTAGTCCATCTACACCCTTCCATCTCCATCTGCCCAAGCGTCTCCCCCGGACTACAACAGCTTCCTAATATCTGCTACCCACACCCTAGTCCACAGGTCATTTTGAAAACACGATTACATCGCAGAGCTTCCCCGCATGAAATCTTTCATTGCTTTTCTCAATGCTCCTAAGACATTATTTAAAATCCTTATACTCATTTGCAAAAAGACTACGATAGCAAAAAAACAGAGAATGTGTGTGTGGGACTGGATCCCGACAGTTTAATCAGAGGAGACGGCCCTAAAAGATTCCATTTTAATGAAGGGAAAATGGGAAGCTCGGTATGCAGGAGTGGGTGGAGAAGCATTCTGCAGAGGGGAACATGCATGTTCAAGAATCACTGGGTGGGGGGTTCCACTATGCAGTGCAAAGACGGGCAGCGTCTTGCAAACTACAAGAGAAGAAAAGGTCTTTAATTAATAGAAGGGCTGGGCAACAAAGAAAACACAAAAGACATTTTGGAACAAGAATCAAATGAATCCAGAAAATGAAATACAGGAGTTAAAAAATGGATCAATGTACACAGAGTGACAAAAGGACAATCAAGGGACAGATGATGCCAAGACAGAAAAAAGAAACTGAGTTAATTTCAAGACCTAAAATCCTGAAACTGCAGAGTTAAAGGAACTCTGAAGACCACTTAGGACCAACCTCTACACTTTAACAGACACGCAGGAACTAAGCAAGTCAGCCACCAGTCGGGGTCACTTGCTGAACACTAATAGCTTGAGGCAAGAAATGAAAGCTATAATCAGCATGCAAATATTCAGAGATATTGATTAAAATACTTGACTAGACTCCCAACTGGCAAATGTCTAGAGAGAAATGCAGGAATTTTTTACGAAGCACCTAATGCATGTCTGCCAAGAGCAGAGAACCAGAGAGCAAGGCTGGCCAGTGGCTTTCACTGGAGAAGAGAGGATTGGAATCTACGTCAAAGAATAGGTGGTTAAAACTTAATCTCCTTTCATTTCTACAAATAATTCAACCTCCAAAGAACTAACGAAAGCATTCAAATGAAGAGGTTAGTGCTGAAACACTTGCTCCTAAGGAAATAGTAAATGAGACGTCATTCTTCTATCTACACCCTCAAAAGGCAAATGAAATCTCCCTCCTTATTAAGAGAAAATAGCCTTAATTGTAAGCCTTAAAATATTCTTCCTTTCTAACAAAAAGAATCCTAATCCAAGAAAGATTCTAAAAAGCAAGTGACAAACCCAGGTGACGGAGGCCCCTGAAAAGGTGCATCGTTACTGCAGAACAATAACTGCATTAGCAGAAGCAAACATAAGTCAGTTATGGGAAGTCAAGGCTTCCTCAGCATCATTTAATTTTGAAAACAGCTAAAAAAAGAACAGCAGGTTCACAGTCCAGTCCTGTCTCTCATCTTTTTTTTTCTTAATAACCTTTCTGTTTTCTCCTAAAAATCATGTCATTTTTTGAAATGGAGAAAAAGTAAGAAAATTGGTACATACTGCCTGAAGAAAATCGGATATAGCAAGTTCTTGGAATCTTGGGCTGGGATGCTGTGCTCCTTCAACTTTGGCATGACTGTCCTAACACGGAAATTAAGTAGCTTTTGGGAGGGAAAGTGGTAGCGGAGATTAAACTCAAAGCCCTCACCCTAAGTCACATCCTCACCCCTTCTTTTATCTTTCATTGTGAGACAGCATCCCACTAAGTCACTAAATTGCCTCGGCTGGGCTCGAATTTGCGATCCTCTGCCTTGGTCTCCTAGAGTACTGAGATGACAGGCATGCACCATCACAGCCAGCCTTAAGTGACATTTTTGAAAAAATAATTTGTTGACCGTTGTTAACTTCCTATTATCTTGTTTTCAAATTCTGTGTCATTGTTTTTATTGGTTTTCTCCTCTCTAAAATAAAGAAGAATCTGTTGAATGAGAAAGACAAAACAAATTGAGAGATGTTATAATGACGACAGCTGATGCCTACCACATGCTTATTAGTTACAGTAATTCATTATCAAGTAGGTGGTTTCAACCATATGAGCTCCAAAGTTAAGTAGCTGTCCCCAAACAAGTAGCAACAGGATGAAATTTAAATTCCAGAGCCCATGGTCTCTGAGTTTGCAAAACGCATTTCTTATAATTCTGCAATCCATATGTATCTCTTGGTTACTGGGTTGCTAAAACATTGGACTAAGTGACTTCCGAGGTCTGATCCAACTCTTAAAAAGCCTCTCACTTAATGAATTAAGAAGATTGGTCAGACTAACACAAAAAGAGATAAATATGGATTGATTCAAGATAGGAAAGTAAAGGAAGAAAAAAATAATCATTAGATCTTCTAGAAAAAAATCATTTGTATTCTGATGAACCATTGTAAGTTCTTTCATAAAAAACTTGACAAGTAGCTTACCACAGACTAAATGAAAGAGGAAATAAACCTTATATTTTGATAGCCCTTGGGAGAATAGGGACAATTATTTATTAATGGCCCTCCCAAAAATAAAATTAGTACTATCTAGAGAAAAATAAGGCTGACATGGACAAAACCATCTTTGATCATGTAGCTGACAACTGGGATAAAAGATGGTGACTATACACAGGGAAATTGTAGGTCCTCAAGCGGACTTATTATCAGTAGCCACACAGCCTAACTCCAGCCTCGCTATGGGTAATAATACAGTTTTCTTCTTAATAAGGTCACCTGAGGTACATTTTCCATTGCAAGCATGCAACAGTGTGCTAACTGAAAACTGAGCTTCTAGTAATGTAGGATGAGAAACGCAGATGCTCCCAATCAAGAAAAAACGCTCTGAAAGTGGGTGGTGACTGGTACTCATGAGAAACCAAACGTGCCAAGTCAAATATTTTAATAAAAGTGTGCCAGTACCTGTAAATTAATTTCTTCCTCTTCACATTCTTTCTTGTATTTCCGGGGCAGTGTCTCTACCTCTCGGATGGCATCTATCGTGACTTGCTGAGGTAGCACCTCAAACAAAGATGTTAAATACATAATTATGGATTTCTTGTCAGGGAGCTGAACAGCAACGTCTAGAAGTGGAAGAAAGTGAGAGCCAGCTTAACCTGGATGTCCAAAATATATGAACTGCTCAAAATTAGGTAGAAAATAACTCTCCTTAGTACCCATAAACAACACTTAACATATAATCTTTTCCATACCATGTCTCAGTACATTGCTGTTTCATACCATGATATATAAGGTAAGAGCCAAGAGCACTATTTACTCATATTTCTTAAAAAATCTTCCCTAGAAGCTTCCCCAGGATGCTCCAAATTAAGCTACCATGTTACCACTGAAAATAATGACGCAAGACTTCATTTATACTATGAAAATATATCTTGGGTTCAATCCTATGACATCTATAAAGTCTTCACATCATAGGCAACATCGCATAAAATGCATTTTTATAAACTAAACCAAATACTGATTTTTTTACAAAATAATTTTTCTAATACTTTATATCTTACTTGATATAGATTAGTTATTATTCAATGAAATAATTAAATTTATGCTTAAGGATATTCCAAATTGTTGGTACAAAAGTACTACTAATTCATCTGTAATAAAATGGCTTATATTTATACCTCGAAAGAAAGACTCCTCAATTCCCATAATTCATTCTAGAAAGAAAAACCAAAATACGGTTTTCCCAAAGTTCAAAACTGTGAAGTAAAATCAAGGTTGAAAATAAATAATGAACACTACCTTCAGGATCTAACAGCTTCTCAATTCCCAGGTAAGTCTGAGCTTTGTTGAAGGCATGCTCAAGTCTCTCGATGGGGGACATTTTGACAACTCTATCCCAGCTGAAAAGGTCAGGTCTGAAATCACCATGGAAATAAAATCAAATGAAGACAAAATATTGTGGAAACTAAGTAGGCATTGTTATAGTCTAAGACATTTCAGTTTGAGATTTTTTCTTAACTCTCAACTTTCTTAAAAAGTTAAATCTCTTATATCCCAAAGTTTTGTCAAATACTATATAGCATTTGAAGATAAATTACAATGATGAAAATAACAAATAACTCATTCTAGGGTTCTTGTATTAAATATTATTGTTAAGATTTCTTGGGTAACCACTAAAAGACTCAAGTATATAGTATTTCCCAAGTCACAGAATATAAAAGAGGGTTGCAGAAACCCATCAACACAAAAGAACACAAGACAGAAAAAAAATTTTAAAAGGTAAAAGAAATAAGAAGCTCAAACTAAGAGGTATCAATTATCACAATCAATATTAATGGACAAAATTCTCCAACTAAGTGAACTGAATAAAACATATAGCTCTAATTTGTCCATAGAATATTACCACAACAAAGGCCTTGAAAACGTTTCCCTACAATTGCCCCTTCCAAGCTACTACTGTTTATCTTGATTTTCTTTTAATTCCACAATTTAGATATTGTTGTTGCTTTAATAACCCAACAATTGATTGTTTTCTTTGCTCTCTGTCAGTTCTTGTAGTATATTACATCTACCTTCCACCCTCTTTTCCCTAGTTGAGTGGTACCTCCATTTGCTAACTTAATTCTTTCCATGATTCTGATCACAAACCAAATTGGAGGAGAACTGAATCAAATTTCCCCATAGGTCAACATTGAGCCAACACTGAATTTGACTCAGTTTGTGACCTTTACAATTTATATTTTCATTTTTGAAAATTACTGTCTATCTCCCCCTTTTGGAATAAGAGGACTGGGATTTTTCTCTATTTTGTTTTCTGCTACATACACAGTGTCCAGCACATATATGTGTTCAATCAATTAACAGATGGAAGGCGTTTTGATTAAATTCAACTGTTTCTTCATAGAATCTCTTAACCACCTAGAACTGCGGGTAACCTCCTTAAACTGGTAAGAGAAGATGGTGATAAGATTTCTAACCTCACAAGATAAATAGCTTTCTTATGGAAAAACATTAGAAGCACTGCCTTTGTTTTTTTTTTTTTTTTTTTAACCTTTTTTTTTTTTATTTTAAGGATAAAAGGAGGGAAACATTAACAGACATACAACATTTTACAACATATCACAAGCACAATACAGACATGGTTGTTCTTCTATCTGCTGTTTCTATGCTGAAAGAAACTGTCAATGAGTCTTTGGTTGACCAGTATTGCATGTCTATATCTGTTTTCATGAGAAGCCACTTTGAAGATATCAATATGTAATACAACCACCATTGTTAATTCCCTACCACTTTGTTTGTAACTCTGTATTGTCTGTATTGTGCCTTTGTTTTTAAGAACAAAACATTCTGTTCACCATCATCAAATTCAAATCAACACCGCATTATAGGACAAAGCACAAGGCTGAACCAAAAAGAGAAGGGGGTGAAGAGAGGAAAGTGGGAAGGAAGGAAGGAAAGAAGGAAGGAAGGGAGGGAGAGAAGGGAAAAAATAACCTCTTTCACACCATCTGGAATTTAATATTTCCAGATGTCAAACACAGAAAACTCTACTTCACTTTTCCATAACAGCCAAGAACATACAGAAAATGAAACGTGAGAAAACTGGTAATTTAAAATAGCAATAATACATAATAAATTCTGCCACTGGCGTTTAAATCCTCGATCCACACAGAAATGATTTTTGGGATATGCTGGGGTAACAATCCAATGTCTTATTTGCATATGGATAACCAGCTGCTCCATACAGTCTATTCATCTGCAATATCAACACAGTCTTGTTTTGTTTTCTTTTGTTTTTTAACTAAGTTATCCTGCATAATGGAGCTATTTTGGAGCTCTTCATTCTATTAGGATGAACCATATGAAACTACTGCTCTTAGACAACAAAAATAATCAAGTATTGGCAATTTTATGGGGTTCAGCCTAAATGTTACTGTATTTATTTATAGCACCACACATTCTTAATTAATATAGCCTTGGAGTTCTAGTTTCTTTTTGCAAAATACTTCAGCCTGGTTCTTCTTCAGGAGTACACTGGATATTCTTGGACCTCTGGTCTTTATATAAAAATTTGAATCTGTTCCCAAGTTCGTAAGAAAAATTGTGTGGCTATTTTTAATTGAGTTACACTGAATATGTAGAGTCTTTCATTGTGAGAACAAAAGCTAACACAATTTTCTGTATACATTAATGGCTAGTATTGAATGAGTGGGACTGAACTATGTGAGTTATTTTAACATTTTTTTATCACAAATATGTAGACAAAATCATGGGCTCTGCACTGTGGGATGTTGAGTTGGAAAGCAATAAACACTGAGTAGTTTTCTACTCCCAGGAGTAGGGGAGCATGTGCAGAAAGGAGCGCATGGGGCAGGTGCTCTAGGGAAGAGCAGAAAAGATGTAGAGAGGAGATGCACATCCCTAAGACCCTCTTCTAAGCCCAGCAAAGCCTCACTTGTGCCGGTGGAGCACGGCGTTAAAGGCCAGTCCGTCGGTCCAGCTGGTGGTGAAGTTGAGGACGTTGACCTGGCTGTAGGCCCGCGTGGTCTGGCGCACCCAGCTCAGCAGGATCTTCTCACTGTTAGTCTGCTGCAGGTCAGACATGACGTCCTTCATGACGTCCTTCACCTGTGGGGACAGACCGCACTGCCTGTAACCTCACAGGGCTTCCAACTGGGTCCTGACACAAGGAGCTACTGTGGATCAGGTAACACACATTTATTGCACTCCATTTTCTATACACATTGGAAAGGTAAATGCTAAGTGTTTATGTGGGGGTACTGGGATTTGGAGGCAATTTGTATTGTACTTTTGTCCACGAATGTATTTTCTCCATTTTAACATCTGTACTATCATGACAATGGACATTACTTTCATAGTCACATAAAAGTCATGTCTTATGACACTGCAATCTCTGCACTTTGGGGAGACTTATTTTTTGGAACCAGAAATGGAACTCAGCACCTTGCACTTGCCAGGCAGGTGCCATGCCACTGAGCTACATTCCCAGCCCCCACCTCCACACTTTGAAAAGTTAAGAAGGGAATATTACAAGTTCAAGTCCTGCCTGGGCAACTTAGCAAGACCTTGTCTCAAAATTTAATAAAAAGAAATTTAAAAGGGGGCTGAGGATGTAGCTCAGTGGTAGAGTGCCCCTAGATATGGGCCCCAATCCCACACATCAAAAAAGGTCGTATTTTATTATTTTCACTTACAAAGCAATTTACACCAAGAAAATCTCATTTTTCTTTTCTACAAAAAGGCCAAAGGAAGAACTTCTTAATCACTAAAAAAGAATGAAGTATCTTTTCTATTAGCAATCATGATTACACTCTAGAATTAACATTTTATGTTATTATTCTAAAATCTTTTAAGACAGGTCTCAAAGAATGATATGGATGTATCAAAAGGACCCAGAAGCCAACTTAAGAGGCTGACACAGGCCAAATCTAGAACCATTTCAACATCAAAATGAAGAGTAGTAGTAAGAGGTTATAACCTTATGAGTACTTAACACTTATGTAAAAATTTATGACTATGTAAAGATTATGTAAAACTTCACGATGTATCCACTGATACACAAACAAATGAATATAGATGATAGATAGATAGACAGATGATAGATAAAGAGACAATAGAAAGCTCTTCTTTACAAGTAGAAAAACAATGAATAAATGTGAAAAGAACAGCAAAATTAGAAATTTACTCTTTGCCAAGCATCTAAATCACAACTGATCCAGGTAAAAATTATGAATGGCTGCTAAAACTGATTGATAAATGCAGAATAAACAGTTGAATATATACACAGCCTCAAGGTGCATCCCCACAAAACAATACTGAATAACAAAGTGTGGTCAAGGTACAGCGGAGAAACCTGACAGATACCATCTGTCTTGGTTACTTTTCTCTACTTGCTGAGACAAAATACCCAACGTCCAAAATGAAGGAAGGAAAGGTTTATTTAGCTTACAGTTCGTGGGGGTTTTAGTCCATACTTGGCTGGCTCCGAGGCAGAAGATAACAAAGCAACAAGAGCAAAGAGGGAAACGGCAGCCGAACAGCAAAGCAGCCAGAGCAAAAAGGAGGAATGGCGGCAAGCAGCTTCTTTCCCTGCCTTACATTGTAAACAGGCTACCCCCACCTAAGGGGCATGTAGCTCTCACATAATCTCCATGCCCTGCTCTTCCACAGGCTCAGGATGTATACAAAGTAAGCACTGTGGCTTCCTGCTGAGTCACTTAGCCAAACCTCTAGACTCCCCAAGTTGACACAATGTATCAACCATAACACCATCTTACCCAAACACCGCTAGGAAAAGCTACAATGGACTGAGTGCGGCCCTGCCCTAGTGCAGGAGAAAAGTTCAACATCACTTCTGTGGCATCTCTGCCAAAACAACCCATATCCAGCAACATGGGAACATAGCCAAGCCCCATGGAGGGGCAGTCTACAAAATAACTGCCAAGTACCCTTCAAAAAACCAATGTCATGAAATATAAAGGACTCACAGATTGTTCTAGATTAAAGATGAGAGAGACATCGCGAACGCAGGACATTGGATTTTTTTTTTTTTTTTTGCTTTTATAAAGGGTATTATAGGGCAAGTCACACAATCTCCATGAGATATGTAATTACATAACTATTCTTTCAATGATATTTTTAATAATTATATAATGCTTTAGGATGTAACATTATTTTATATAATAATATATAATTATAAATATTAGCATACATTTTATATATTATATTATGGCATTGCAAAGGAGTTCCTGAGTTTTAGAAAAATGCTGTTTTTGGAAAATACACGTGGAAGTATTTAGGCAAAAACAGACAGAATGAGCACAAGAAATACTACTATTAACATTTGGGGAATCTCACTATAGGGTGTTTGGGGAATTCTTTGATCTACTCTTAAAACTCTTTGGTAAGTCTGAAATGATGCCAATTTCCTAAATTCAATATTTTAAAAAACATACTTCATCCCCCTCTGCCAAGAAAACAGCAAGTTGTTCACTTCTTCCTCCTCCAAAATCCCTAAATTAACGTCTAATCCCAGTATCTCAACATGGAATCTTATTCGGAAATAGTGCCCCTGCAGATAGAAGGAGAGCGAGGTCATCCTGCTGTCCTCATGAAAAGGAGGCACTGGGACAGACACACAGGCATGGAGAAGGCCAGGTGAAGACTGGCACTGCACTGTACAAGCAGCACCAGGGATGATCCACAAGTCATGACCTGGGGACACATAGTACAGGTCGTGCCCTGGGTCCTCCAAAGGAATCCGCCCTGCCTGACACCTGACCTTCCATTTCCAGCCTCCAGAACTGCGAGACAATTTCTGTTGGTCAGACCAGGGAGACTGGTACTTTGTCAGGACAGCCCTAGGAAAGTATGGCACAAACAGTACATTTTCAATTCTGGGTGAGAGGTGACTGGAGATGTCTTCACCTGCCAGTGCAGAATGATGCTCCAAAGTAGGCCCAGAGTCAGTTTGTGGTTCCCATCGACTATGTCCGTTCCTCCTATGTTCACTAATTCCACCTATCGAAATGAAAACGTAACTGTTAGGACAGTGTCTTCACAAAATTCTGTGTTTCTCATTTAGCACATTTGCACAGCCATACAAGTGAGTGATAAGAGAACTCTCATTTTAGAGAATAAAGGAAATGTAAATCTCAAAACTGTTATTTACAAACTAGACCAATAAAGCCACCGGAAAAGCACACGAGCGTTCCTTCGTGTGTAGAAATTGTCCATTATTTCTCGGAGGAATCCACTGACACCAGTGCACAGAGCAGGTGGCAGGTGGCTGGCTTCCCAACAGACAATGTGGACGGCAGCACAGAATGACTTTGCAAGCTTACGTTGTTCTGATGTAAAGCCTGCAGCACTCTGTTGACGTTATTTAAGGCATGCACCCTTGTGGAACCGCGTTCCTTTGTCTGGAAAATAAAACACGAAGCAAGTAAGATCCATTGTCCTTCCATGTGAGTGACAAACGCTGATACTGAAATGTACGCGGAACAACAGTTCCGTACACAGCGTCCTCAGAGGCAGGATTTCAGGCCACCATCCCTGAGCTATTGATTACAAGATGCAAATTCTCCTAAGCAAATTCTCCTATGCAAATTCTCCTTCAGGCAGTGCTTGCCTGACTTGCTGGTACACTGGGGACCTCCTGGGCAGCTTCACAACCGGTAATACTTGTGTCCCGCTTCCCGGCCCACCAAAGATTGTGACTTCATGGGTCTAAGGTGTGGTGTGAGTAGAATTTTTAAAAGATCCCCTGGTGATTTCAACATGCATATAAATTTGGGAACCTGTAAGACAAAGCTTTTCTCCACATTGGACTGGATGCAGAAAGATTGTCCCCTGTATCCTACACAGATGGGGACAACAGAGCAAGGATTCCAGTTCCAGCTGGCACCTGCAAGAGCCCACCTGGAAGGCAGGAATTCCTCGCCTGAGGGGGATGTGAACAGCTTCCTTCCACCTCATGGGCCAGGGAACCTTATCTGAAAGAGGCACCAGCCTCCCCAACAGGTGCGCAGCCACCACCTGCCTGCAAAAGCTGGACCCACTGGTAGCAAGAAGGGTTAGGGCATCTCTCTGTTCCTTTGTAGCGCTTTCACCTCTGGTGTAAAAGTTTGTACACACTAAACACATCCTCTTCACTAGCAGGGTTATTCCAGTGCGGAGAACCATACTCAAAGTGCTAAAGTTGGATTTGATAAACAAACGCAAAGATAATACTGAAAATCTGAACAAAAATATATGCTATACTTTCTAACAACTGGTTCTTTAAGTATTTGTTAAATAACAAATGGTTGTTTCTGCACTCACTACCATTCAAACAATTATGCCTGCTCTACAAATCCATACTTTTTTGTAATCCCCAACCTGGGCAATCTCTGAAAAATAGACATTTATGATAGTTTTTTCTTTGATGAAATTAGAGCTCTCGAGAAAGCCTAAATGCTGCTCTATCCCAGCTTTAGTTAAACTGCTCTTTTTAAGGCGCCTCTTTCAGCCTTAACATTCTAAGTAACCCACAATGGTACGCAAGGATCACAGTGACCAGAGACAAGCCCTTAGGCTGATACACAGAGCTGGCTTCTCACCAGCGATGTCCCTGTGAGGCCTTCCAGAAGATCCAATAGTTTCCTGCCATCTTTGAGGTCAGTGAACATGTCATTGATGGGTGGCTTCCCACTCTATGAAAGAAAAAAAAAACAAAACATAGGTCACATCCGCAGCAGAAATCCCATACTCTACATACTTGGCATATGAATTAGTGGTTTCACTTTTTCAATTCAAAAGTTCTGGATAATCCGCAAATGATTCAAGTTTGCCTTGTATAGAAAGAACCAGTAATAAGAGAATTCTGAAACCTCCTAATGAACCAATTGAGCTGAAAGATAAAAATTGCACTGTTTCTTAGAGTGAGAACAAATAAATACATGGTTATGTGGTTCATATGCCTGAACTCTGGCATAAGCTCAAGAGAAAGGAATGATAAACAGAAACATTAAAAATGTCAACAAAGGCCCATGACACATGGGCATCCCTAGCCATCACCACACTCAGGGCAGGACATCGGGCAGCATTTCCACAGCAGGTGTAGGTGATTTCATTAATTTCAGCTCTCAGGGGACGAGTCTCTAGTGCTCAGCAATTTCTTAACAATTACGGCACTCTGGGCTGTGTCTAAGTCCAGTCCAAGGCCAATATTTTGACTCAGAAAGCTTACAGAACTCTTAAACTCTTGTCCGTGATTGGTGAATGCCATCAATTCCCATCAATAATCTTACTCTAGTGTCTGACACCAGAAAATCTCACTTCCTTTGCACTAAATTTGGTAAATCCTGGTCTTCCTATGCTAGGAAGAGTTGTTAGTAATAGCGCAATTACTATTCAGAAAATCAGGAAGTCTTGGTTTTAAGCCCAGTTTGACCACTAATTACCTGGTGAACACGGCTCAGCTACTTAACCTCTAACCATACGTTACTGTAAAGATCGAACAATGCAGTGTTCTATGACAATGTCCTGAAAACTGTAAAGCACCATGGAGTAATAAATGCTGTATTATCTTGCATCCAATTTTTGCCTGCTATTACAAAATCTCCAGAGACTAATACCTAGTTACTGCAAATAATAAAGGCATTTTGAAACTGGTAAGTAAATCATCTCCATTTCTCACTGTTAAAAATACATACATATCAGTCACACAGAGCAAAATTGTACTCCTGAGCTTGAGATAGAAGAAAATCATTCTGAAGTTTCGTAAAACTTAGCATTACTTTTTCGTTGTTCTCATTTTTTTCAGTTTTTTGTGTTGGTACACATTTGCATTACATAATGATTGCATTCCTTGCGGGGATTGGTACATGTGCATAGCACATCTTAATTCTTTTCTCCATCCCTTGCCCTCCCCTCCCCACGGTCTTCCATCTCCTGATCTCCTAATCTCCTTACCATTTTAACAAAATCTGTCTCCCTACTTCCTATTACATTTTTATTTTCCTCTTTATATTTTGGGTCTCTCATATAAGAGAAACCATATGGCATTTAAGTTTGTGTGTCTGATTTATTTCACTTAACATTATAGTCTCAAGGTGCATCATTCATTCTTCTGCAAATGACTTGTTTATCTTTTTTATGGCAGAGTAGTATTCTATTGTAATACCACATTTTCTTTACCCATTCACCTGTTGGTGGACATACGGGCTGCTTCAAAGATTTTGTTATTATGAATTATGCTACTATAAACATGAGTGTGCATGCATAACTATAACATGACATCTTTAGGAAGACACCTAGAAAGGGAATGGTTAAGTCAAATAGAATTTCTAGTTTTAGTTTTGTGAGACATCACCATACTGATTTCTATAGCGGCTGTGCCTGTTTACACTTCCACCAACAAGACAGAAGGGTTCCTCGTTTCCCTCACAGCCCCACCAGCATTTGTTATTATTTCATTTCTTGACCACAGCCATTCTTTCTGGAGTGAAAAGGAATCTCTGTGTTATTTTAATTAGCACCTCTGTGATGGGAGCAATGGTGAACATTTTTTCATGTATTTATTTGCCATTTGTACTTCTCCTGAGAGATATCTATCTATTTCAGTTGCTCCTCTGTTGATAGCATCTTCAAATTAGGGTGTCTATAATTTTTTTCTTTTTAGTTCTCCATATATTCTAGATATTAGTCCTCTATTGAAGGAATAGCTGGCAAGAAAATTTTCCCACTGTGTAGGTTGCTTCTTCACTGTGTTGGCTGTTTCCTTTGCTGTGCAGAAGCTTTTTAATTTGATGTGATCCCATTTGTTGATCCTTGGTACTATTTCTTGTGTCATTGGGGTTCTGCTGAAAAAGTCCTCACATACACCTATGTCTTTTAAGAGTTTTACCTATTTAATCATCCAGCAGATCAAGGGTTTCTGGTTTAACATTCAGACCTTTGATCCATTTTGATTTCAGTTTAGTACCTGGTAAAAGATATGGGTCTACATTCAGGTTCATGCATGTGGAGAGCCAGTTTCCCCAGCATCATTTATTAAAGAGGCTATCTCTCCTCTGGTGTGTACTTTTGGTTCCTCTATCAAAGATCAAATGATTGAATGTTCCTGATGTTGTTTCTGCATCCTTTATTTTGTTCCACTGATCTACATGTCTGTTGTTGCATTCATACCATGCTGTTTTTATCACAGTAGCTTAGTAATATAACTTCAAATTCAGGATTGTGATGCCCCTGCTTTGCTCTTGTTACCCAGGATTGCTTTTGCTATCTTGGATCTCTTCTGGCTGCATATGAATTTTAGGATTATTTTCTCTAGTTCTATAATGAATGTTATTGGCATTTTGATTGGGATTGTGTTAAATATGTATATCAGTTTTGGAAGTATGGCCATTTTGGGTATATTGATTCTAAATACCCATGAACAGGGGCTATCTGTCCATTTTCTAATGTCCTCTTTGATCTCCTTCCTCAGAGTACTATAGTTTTCACTGTAGAGGTCTTTATTACCACACATCACTTTTTTCTCCTCTCCTGATTCCTTACCTATTTTTAAATAACTGTAACAGTTAACCAATTTTTTTATAGACAAGTGCCTGTTCCCTAGTTCATCAACTGTAAAAAGGGGTAAGTGTGGAAAACTTATCACCACACAATCAGGAAAGAATAAGCTGTGGCTTGTTCATATCTGTAACAAAGCTGATTTTCTATTCTAAACGGCCACTGCAATGGGCAGCTGTCACTGTTGGTGACACACAGATGATCACCACCAATATCTGTAACAAGCAGTTTTGCATGACATGAAAGCCACATTCCAGAGGCTCCAGGAAGCTGAGCCAGGGACCTTTCCCACACACCAAAGACTTCCTAATTGCTATCAGTGAGAGCAAAGGGTAGACCTGGTCCTCATCAACTACCTGCCTCTAATGTGTCTTTCCTGCAACCAACCAAAAGGTAGCATAAAATAAAATAAGTGCAAATATTTTTCCACATTACAAATAAGTATGACTGTCTGTCAGCAACTTTATCCGCACACAACAAGGCCTTTAGTAGCCACGGAATAAGTAACATGGCCCTTCTGCATCTGCTTATCTGTTAAAAACTCAGATTACAGGGGCTGGGGATTTAGCTCAGCGGCACAGCGCCTGCCTGGCAAGCGCGAGGTCATGAGTTCAGTTCCTGGTACCAAAAAATAAAAACTCAGATGACAGTAGAGAAATACAAACTGAAACTACATTAAGATTCTGTCTCACTCAAGTAGAATGGCGTCATCAAGTGTATAGAAAAATGGGCTGCACTGGGATGTGGCTCAGGGGTAGAGCACTTGCCTGCAAAAGCAAGGCTCTAAGGTTAATGTCCAGGATTGCTGCTGCTGCTAATACTACCGATGATGATGATGATGATGACGACAATGACAATGATAATGACAACCAGCCTAGGCCAAACAGCAAATGCTACCACCAGCCCTGCAAAGTACCACCTGGATACAAATGGTGATTTGGGGTTTTGTCCACTAAGAATGGATCAGGAAAATAAACATTTTATAGAGCTGGGTGTGTTGGCACACACCTGTAATCCCAGCACTTGGGAAGCTGAGGCAGGAGGATCACTGTGAGTTCAAGGCCAGCCTGGTCTCTATAGTGAGTTCAAGGCCAGCCAGAACTACACAGCAAGATCCTGTCTCAAAAAGAAGTTTTTTATAAAGGAACAGACAGTACATCACTTGGACTCCTGGCCACGTGGCCTCTGTCAAAACTACCGAAGCCTGTTGTTGCAACAGGAAAGTAGCCACAGACAATATATAAACGAATGAGCCAACTGGAATAACAACTATGTTCCAATAAAACTTTATTTCATGGACACTAGCATTTGAATTTCAAATAATTTCCATATGTCACAAAAACTACATTTTGATCTTTTATAATCACCTAAAATTGTAAAAATAATCATTTTTAACTCACAAGCCATAAGAAATAGTCAACAGAATAGTGAAATGTTCTTAGATAATAACAGCAAAAACTGTGTATCAACTATCTTCTAAGAGACATAAATACTTGGGTGCACTTTTACATGTAGTATTTCATTACAGTAATACTTTAAGGTAAATACCATCAACATGCCCACTTTACAGGTGAGGAATCTGAGACATAAAGATGATTTAACCAGTGAGAAACAGAACAAGAATCTGATCTAATCTGGTTCTAAACCCATGTTCTGAACATCTGTGCTACTGTCACTAAAATCACGAGGGCATACAACTATGACACATAGAGAAGGAAATATTTAATCACTGGGGTTGGGGTGGGACATATTTAACAATTTCCCAAAGAGGGCAACAAGACATGTATCACAATGAAATGAATTCAAAAGAAGACTGTTTTGCCTGGTGCACCACTTTAAAGCGTGTCTGATGTTTTGGTGTTACAGGCTCTAAACATGGAATCTACTCTGGGAAAAAGTTTGGAAATGTCAGAAGTCATCTTTCCATAAAAATAAGAACGGATTCATCCAAACAGTCAAGCTCTTATTTAGATCTTTAAATCTTTGCAGACTTCTTTGCAGATACTTCTTGCACAGAGAGAATACAATGTAATAATTCAATTGAACAAATATTTGGTGAATACTGCTTTTGTGCTTGGCCCTGCAGAAATGCCAAGTTCAGATCACCCTCCCCATTCACAAGAGTTTCCATAGTCTT